CAACCTTGATGCCTAAAATGTGTTTTCTTTTTCTCTGGCTGCTTTTCACAGCCACCCTTGGCCAGCACATAAATGTGCATATGTGAATTTGGGGGACTTCCACATGAAAATGGCTTCAACAGCAGTATTAGATCTGCAAGGGGCTCCTCGTGCTAATGCGGCCCCACTGTGCCACCAGCAGTTCTCCCTGAGCAGCGGGCTGTGTCCAGGAGGGGCCTGGTTGAACATTCCTGGGAGTGTGCTCTCTGTCCTGCCTGGGAATCCAGCAGCCTTAGTTTTCTTTCTAATTAATGACAGCCTGAAGGGCTTGATCAGGGCCTGGTCAGTCTCTGGCCTTTGCCGGACAGGCCAGGCCTCTGAGCAGCCCACCACACCACTCTGTGTGTGGTGCAGATCAGGACCGAGCTTACCACTAAACCCTGTATTCTTCTGTGTTTGCATTCAGTGTACATAAGTGATACAAAGGAGCCCTAGGCGGGCGGAGCGCTGACCAGGACTGGCCCAGGAAGTGAGGAGGAGGAGCAGGGCCGTGGTGTTATCTGATGCCGCCATCAGTGTACACCGGGAGAGCGTGTTATTTCGCAGCCGTGCAGCAAACACTCCTGTCTTTTTATTAACCTATGTGGACCTTTTTATTTATTTAAACAAAATCACAATAAAAGCAAAATAAAGGCAGGTATGTGAACATTTCTGTGTTGTGGTGGTTTATGTAAGTACATATGCACAGAGACGGAGAGTGACCCAGCAAGCTCTTAGGCATCCTCTTAGCATTAGGAATGTCAGCCTTTTCCTGAACGGCTGGGCAACGGCTGGCTCACCAGACAGCGTCTTTCACAGTGCCTTCCTTTGATTCACTGCTGTGTAACACACAGGTAACGAGCAGGGACCTGGCAGCAGCTGGTGAGTAACCTGTGACAAAGCTGCCTGGGCCTGAGGGTGCAGCCCAGGGGCATAGCACTTGCCTGGGGTGCCCAAGCCTCGGGGGCCAGTCTGCGCGCTGCAGGATGCGGGCTGAGGCAGTGCTGTGGCGCCCAGTTGGTGTTAGTGTGGCTGCGGGCATCTCCAGCGCTCCCAGACCTAAACTCCATGAGCGCCAATGTAGTACCACAAGTGGAAAATCCTACATCACAAACGTTGTTTTAGGAATAAGATTGTTAAAATCTGTCACGGGCCAGGGATTTAGCTCAGCGGCCCAAGCCCAAGGTCATGAGTTTGATTCTGGATACCAAATAAATAAATACTTTGAAAATTACCTTTAGGCTACGGGCATAAGGTTTATATGAAATATAAATGAATTTATGCATAAACTTGGAGCCTACCCTCAAGATAGCTTGTTACGTACACGCACATGTTCCCAATGCAGAGCACTTCTGTCCCAGGCATTTCGGTCAGGGTGCTCTGTGGGTGCTCCACGGAAACATCATTTTGACTTAGGAAGAATTGTAGGGAGAGCTCTGACACTGAACCTGGCCCATATGGAAGATCGATGACCACTAAGTCCCTGGCAGGGAATATCCCTTGCTCTCGCACAGGGACAACTGTAAATATTAGAAGAACAAATCAGAGACTTGTTCTGAGCTTTGCTTTGAGAACAGGCTTACAAGTACTAGATCTTAAATTGTTTTAGGAAATTGTGATGGGTGGCACTGAACTTACATCTACAAATGTTTTCTTTAAAATAAATTTTAGGAAATTAGTCGAAGTATGACTTGAACTAGTCACATTGCATTACGGTGGTGCAGACAGGGCCTGACCCGGGTACAGTAATCATGCGGCTGCCTTGAGGCAGACGCCTCTTTCCCTATGCTAGTAAGCATAGAGGCTGCTCTGCCTTAGTTGGAGAGTGTGGACCTTCGTGCTTGGCTTGGTCACCAACCATCCAGGTCCCACTGCTCCCTGAGGGATGGTTACAAAGCTGAAGGGCATGGAGCTGCTTCCCGCAGTGTACAAGTCAGGTATACCTTGGGGAACTGGCCATTAGATGTGGTGTTGCTTTTGCTCTATTCTCCTGGCTGGTCTTGAGCTCCTGGTCTCACATGATCCGCCTGTCTCAGCCTCCAGAATAGCTGGGACTACAGAGGCAACCCACCATGCCCAGCCAGAGTTATTTCTGGCCTCCAGTATTCAGATCCACTGTTAGCATGGATGAATTGGTCTTGGCAGAGCCCTGTGAGATTCCTCATGGAGGAGGGTGGCTTTCTACACTAAAGCACTAGGTTTTGTAATGCTGATGGCCTTAATTTGACCTGGGGTCTGAGTTCAGTGCTCTCTGGAATCATCTGACACATTACCCTTTGATCTATTTTCCTTATTAATAATGGCACAGCTGTTACGGAAGATAAGTCACTGATGTCAGGTAGTTAACGTTTGGTATCTGCTTTCCTGCAGATAAAAGTTATTAGGCCCCAGAAGAGAATGAACATTCTCGGTATTGCCAAACCCTACTTTCTGGCCGGAGCTGGCCACCAGAACCTGTTATACCAGGCCTTGAGCAGAATCTGAAGTGTGGATGGGTCTTCCATTGGAACATACCCCACCCTCTGTTCAGAAAGGTACCTCCCGCCCGGCCTCCTGCCATAGTGCCCTGCACAAGCTGTTCTTGGAATCTTCACCAGCTTTCTCCTCTGCAGTTGGTATTGTCTTGCCTGTTCCGGGATCCGGCCACCCTGCACACTGGGAGTCCAGATCATAAAGTGGCTTTGAAATAGAGTTTGCTCCTCCTCTCTTACTTGAACTGGTGGTAGTTAATGTGGAGGAAGAGAAACAGATCTTGTCCTGGGCTGGGTATGTGGCCCAGTGGCAGAGTGCTTGCCTACTGTGTGTGAGGCCCTGGGTTCAGTCCAGCACTGCAAAAAGAAAGGAAAGGAAAGAGCTGTGCCTCAGGCTACCTTTTTGTCAGTTAAAATGCCACTCTTTGGGTAAAAGGGAGTTGGCCTTTTCTTCATGAAGGCACGTTCCCTCCTCAGTTGTTAAATAAAGCATGAGTGGGAACCATAATCTAAGCTGCTAAGCCCCACCCCGAGTGTTCTGGAGGCTGAGACTTGAGTGGAAACCTGAAGACACACTTTACCCGTCCCCTGGCCATTCACGTGGAACCCATGTCATCCATCTGTCACGGGAAGGTACAACCCCTCTGGCTCACCACATAACTCCACACACAGGTGTGCCTGCTTCAGCCTGGAAAGCATTGAAAAGAATAAAGGCAAAGTGTTTGCAGAAAACATGCTATTTCCTGTTGAAGCTTTCTTTCCGTGGTGCATTTTTCCCCCATTGTGACTGGCTCGGAATGTTACAGAAACCTAGGTTGAGGTTGCTCTCATCATCCTGGGTGCCTGAATGCTGTTATCCCCAAGTGCCGAGTCGGAGCAGCTGCCTGTGCCACCTCCCCTCCTGCCTATGCTGGGCGCGACTCCTGCCAAGCCCCACACCGTGGAGTCAGAGGCCTCTGCTGCCCCAACCCAGGCTGGGTAGAGCCAGTGGGGTCTGTGGCTGCAGAGACAGCTGGCTGCCAGCTTGGCATTTGGGCACCTTGCACATCAGTCACTCCACTCAGCAGTGCTGTGCCCTCCACAGTGGGTCAGCTCACCTCCTCGGCCAGAGATCATGCTCGTCTCTGCCTCTTTGGAGGGCCACAAGAACATGCTGAGTGCTGAGCAGCCCCAGGAACGTCGCTGACACCCCTTCTGCGCAGGCTGTCCCTCCTCCCTGTTCATCTCAGCATGTTCTGTTCAGCGAATCCCCAAAGCAGCTAGAATCATGGTCTTTGCCGCTTTCTGCGGGGTGGCAGGTGAGAGCAGGCTTCTGTGCGTGCCCTCCGCTGGAGGAGCTATGGAAACGTCAACCTCTTGTTCCGTGCCTGTGGCAGCTTTGACCCCTGCGGGGGCATCTTTCTTAGTACGCTGTTCGGCAGCCTCCTGAGCCAGGTTTGGGTCTGCTCCTGGAACCTGGAGTGTGGCAGGGTTTATGGAGGGCAGCAGAGGTGGTGTGAGAAGGCAGGATCAGGATCACCTGGCGGAGCTGATGATGGAGAACAGGAAGCAGGACCTGGCACCCTCCCAGGCATGCGTGTGTGTACCCACTGCCTTGGAGCCTGGGGCATCGTGCATCTCCAGCCGACCCCCCCACATCCCCTGGAACCTGGATGGCACGATCCAGTCACGTGTGTCCCCAGCCTAAGCAGCTGTTTACAGACCTGGCTTTGGAAGGGCAATTCTTCTTGTGACTCAGGAGGAGGGGTGGGTTAGACATAGTCTGAGAAACATCCATGTTCAGTTATTAATTCAAGAAGTACTGGTGGCTTCACATCTCGTGTCTCCCAAATAAGGGGGGAAGTAAGATCATAAAGTCTTTTCCACTCAGCCAGGCAGCATAGAGAGCGCCTTTGGGAACGGGGAGGGAATCTTAGCGTGTGGCAAGGTAGGACAAGGATGCTGCTGCTCATCAGACTTGGTTTTCAGTCCTGGCTCTGCCTCTTACCAACCGTGCAACCTGGAGCAAGTGTGGAAGGCATGCAGTAAAATGGGCACGACGGGCATGGTACCGCTCATCTGGTTGGCAGGGCCAAGGTGAGAATAAAAGACGGCAAAGTGCCTGTTCCAGGTGCTGGGTAGACGTCGCTCTTTCTCAAGCTTTGTTTTTGTTGTTTCTTAACCATCGGTGAAGGTCCTGGAGGAGGTCTTCTCGGGTGGGGAAGATGAGCACGTGAAGTAGGAACCAGGAAAGCTTTGCCACGTGGGTGGAGGAAGATTGGCACCAGCCGATAGTGTTTTCGAGACAGGCTCTCCAGCCTCCCTGTCTTGCGATGGTGTGGCTTGGGAGAAGTTTGGCAGCTTGGAATGTCCCGCTTCTCGGTCCCCTGAGGTTTTGTGTGACGAGGGCACCCTGCGGCCTTCCTGTGGCTGGGTTTCGAGCTCGCTCCAGGAACTCGCCCATCTGCTCATGGTTTGGTTGTCAAGTTGTTCTGCCGTTTGCCATCACTGACTGTCTTCACTCTCTTCCAGGGGCTCCACGGGCCTTACCCCTTCGGCCAGTCTTAAACGGGTGTCAGCAAGAAGAAAAATTAACAAAAGACAGAAGGCCCGACTTTGGGGGGGAGGGCAAGGGGTTCCTCTGGATTCCAGACCACGCCGCCCGGACCCCTGGCTCTGCCTCCCCATCCCAGCAGAAGAGGAAGCAGCAGAACAGACTAGTTTGGAGTGAACTCGGTGTGCGTGTGTGAGTGCTGACTTGCAGGGACGACACGGCCGCCTGGGGTCTCCATCGCTAGGTGAAAGTTTAACAAGTCACTGGGGCGCTTGGGGAAGGAACAAGTTCTAAGTGGGGGAAAATAAGCCATCTTTTTAAACAGAAATTATTTTGCCTACAGAGGTTGTAGTTTTGCGCACATGACTCTTCCCCCTTTTCCCCGTTTATTTTTGTAAGAGGGTAAGTGCTTGATCTGGAAGCGGTTCAGGCCGAGACCCCATGGGTCAGCACCTCGGGACCGCGGCAGGCTGGCCCCGTCTGTTTCTAGTGATGTCAGCCGATGAGCTCACCCTCCCTCCCCACCTCCCTTTAATCTTTGGTTGATTTACACCTTTGACATTTGTGTTTGTCAACCCTGTGGCTTGTTAGCATCAGAACCTCTCTGAAGACCAAACTTTGCTGTGCGCCCGCAGAGGAAGCTTGAGGACAGATCTCGGGTGACGTGGGCATTTCTGAGGCCGAGAGGCATCCTCCTGCACACCCCGAAGCCGTTCAGATCGCTTCCCGCGCTTGTTTCTCTTGGCAAAGAGAGATAGATGCATCGTGCTCACTGTGCTCCAGTTCTGTGCGCGGCCGTGCCCCGCTCCCCCCGCAGCAGTTCTGCCTGCCCGGGAAGCGGCTGCAGCTCACCAGCAAGTGTGCAGCAGGCCAGGGGCGGCCTCCTGGCTGCTCAGTTGTCACACGGCTCCCTGCCCTCGATTTCCCTGCAACTGTCCTTTGTGGTGTTTGCACAACCTGTCCATGGAGGCTGAGCTCTTAAGATACGAAAATACAGCCCCCAGCCAGGAACTTGTGGGAAAGGGCCACGGTCACTGACTCCTTGGTCTTGGAGGCCACAGTTAGGTGGAAGCTTGGGCTTTGGTGAGGGGGTGGGCAGGGGCCAGCCCCGCTGGTGTCCCATGAATTCCAAGCAGGTCAAGATGTGGATGTGTCCAGGGAAGCTTGAACAAGGCTAGAACAGCTGTCTGCCAAAGATACAAGAATATGCAAAGTCCCTCTTCTCAGCCCCTCCGTCCCTGAGTCTTGGTTGGTCTGAGAGCCAGGGATGTGCCCCTAGGGTGCGGTTGCAGGTCCCCTGCCTGTGACCTCACCCCCATCTGCACTGGGGGTGGGGGTAAGAAAAGCGGGGTCCAGGGGATGAGTGGCTGTAAGGGGTCCTGTGGCCTGGGTGTGGTGTGAGGGTCTGCCTGTCTATCTCTGTTTGGGTGTCTGAGTTTTAAAAAGTGTGTGGGGTTCCTCCTCATCTCCTCTGAGACTGTTGTTTTTAAATGCTTGACTGTGGGTGGGAGGCTTGTATGAAATTCCCCCTTCACGTCTCCACTTCCCAACAATGTTCAGTTTGCTCCAGAAACCTTGGGGAAGAGTGGAGCCCTCGGCGGCACAGGGCCTGCAGCCGGGACTGGACTCGGGCTTCCTCGGAGCGCCTACTTTCTATGCACACCGCACCCCACGCCCTAGCAGAGCCGAGGGGAGTCCTTTCTGGGTGCTGCACCACAAGTCTCAGGATGGCTTTTAGTCTGAAAGCCGCCTTAGACCCGGTTTGCTGCTGCCGCCGGTGCCAATCTCCTAGGACACTGCCACCCTGGAGCGCACACATGCCCCTCTTCCTGCTTGCCAGCTTTGGAGCAGTGTGTCCTCAGCTGCCCCTGCAGAATCCTGGGCGGCTCATACCCTCCGCTTTTCTGTCTCCCTGTCTGCCCCACGCCAGACGCCCTGCCCCAGGTTCACAGCCAGAGCTCCGTCAGCAGGGTCCCTCCGGGGCCGTGCTGCTTCTCTTGCTTGTTGGCGGATGGACAGTTCTATGCACGTCCACTCAGAGGTGGACTCTGCAGTGGGCCAGGGCAGGGGCAGGCCTATGCCTATGCCTTGGCAGGGTTAGAGGAGGGCGTTGGTCCTCCCCTCCTTCCCTCGCACGGTCTGAGCGTGAGTGGCGTCCCTCTCCTCCTCTGTCCAGCAGGGGTAGGAGGCTGCCTCTCAGTCCTGCAGTCCCTGCTCCTCAGGACTCCTGGACACAGCAGAACTGCCACCCAAGAGGCGAGGCCAGCCACATCCTTAGGTGACAGGCTGGGGAGACGGAGGAGTGCAGTGGGGAGGAACCGTCTGTGTGCGTGGCGTGAGGGTGCGTGTGGGGATGTGTGTGCACGTGTGCATGCCTTTTTTTTTTTTTTTTTTTCTTTCGCTGTGGGGACAGTTGAATTTGGGGCATTTTCCCACAAGAAACAGCTTCTCTCCTCGTGAGGACTGGCTGTGGCCCTACGCCCATCAAAGGCACATCCTGCCTGGAGAGAACTCCAGAGCTAGCTGGTGGCCTAAAGGCTGCTAAGCTGAGAAGTGGGCGAGAGGACGGACCCCTCCCCAAATTCAGTCTGAGCCCCAGCAGGAGAGCGAGGCAGGGCTGCCAGCGCCTTCCGTGGTCCCGGGACGAGCTGGGAGCAGCCGTGCTGCCCCTCCGCCGGGACAGCTGTGTGTGTGGCGAGCAAGCTGGTGGGTGTGTGGCGGGGCCTTGTGGTGCCTGGAGGAGCTGAAGATGAGGTTTTCCTTACTGTGTAAACGAATATTTGTATGATTAAATTAACACACAAAAACTTCCCTCCTGTGTCTGCTTTCTTGTGCCCTCAAACCTGCTTGACCCGCAGAGCGCACAGCGGGGCCCACACGGTGCTGCGATGCCCACGTGTGGTCTGTGGGACTTTTCCCTCTTCCCAGTGGGGCAGCTGGGACCTGCAGTTCGTTATATTTGGAGGAAGTCGATCCTGGGTTAGTGACCAGAAAGGTCACAAAACGCCTTCCAGATGGCCGTTAGGGCACTAGAGTGCCGTGCCTCTGTTGGTCACCACTCTGTCCCCAGCACATGAAGAAGCCCTACCAGGTTAGTGTTGCTCACCCCACAAGCATCTCTGGGGCCTGATAGCGCCCCAGCACATCACCATGGCAGAGCAGGTGGACGCCTTCACTTGGAAAAGCAGGCAAGCTGGCACTGGGGCCCCTTCTCATTCCCAGCTGGACTCCGGCTCCCGGGGCTTGGAAGAAAGAACACATTTCAGTAGTTGCCAGGCCTTTAGGGGCCCTGGTTTGTGAGGGTGGGTGGGCTTGGGGCTGGCCTGGAAGCCTATGAAGTAAGGAAACCAGAACCCCACACGAGGTGGCCAGTGACCTCAGTGGGACAGGAAGCAGATTCTGCTGACTGACAGTGTGGCAGCTAGTGCGTTTCCGGGCCCCTTTTGAACTTGTAGCATCTTCAGAGCGCAGAACTCACCACCCCTGGGTTTGCAGTGAGGGCTGAAAGGGGAGGTATCCTGTGAATCTCAGTTCAGTGGCCAGGGCGGGCTGGGCCCTGTGGCCTCAGACGTGACAGTGCTACATGAGGGCATTATCTTCAGTTCACAGAAGAGCCAGCCCTTCATCTATGGACACCTGCATTGGGCTCTTCTGCTGCCTGGCAGAGCTGCATTCTAAATGATGGCTGTGGGCAGAGAATCTGGGGGGTAGGTGTGTCTGGCCACACCACGCAGAGGCCTGGCCTTACACAAGGGCCCAATTGCAGGACCCCTCAGGTCAGCCTAGCACAGCCCAGGACGAAGGAGCCTGGGAGCTGACCTGAGGCCCTCGACAAGTGTCCTTGTCCTTGACCCATCCTGTGACAGCGCACCTGCATCCTGCTTCCTTCCAGACGCCTGCAGCTGTTTGTTCTCCGCAGAAGGCTCCACCCCATCACCTGGGTCCCTGGCAGCGCCGACCCGCTCCCAGACCGTCCCCTACACCCCTTCTGCTGAACAGTTATTTGCTTGGCGAAATCTGTTTATCTTTGGGGCTGTAACCTGTCAAGAAGTCACCAGGCCCTGGGCAAAAGGAGCAAGTTTGGTGGTAGCTGCGGACCTGAGCCATTCCCACGGGGGCTAGGTGACAGGGCGGGGGGCTCTGAGCTGATCTGGGACATGACACGGGAGGGGAACTCAGGACTGGGGGCCCAGCCCTCCTGGTAGAACAAACAGGTGCTTCCCACCACCTCCCTGGCCAGCTTGGGTTGGAGCAGGGAGCCTCCCCTGTTCCTGAGAAGGCCCCTCCCTCTGCTCCCCGCCATGACCCAGCTGTGGCCACTGCTGAGAGAACAGTCCCCAAGGGCCCTTGTGGCTACCCCAGCCTTCAAAGATGGGTGGGGAGCAGGGCACCAGAGAATGGGTCTGCAGATGAAGATGTGCTAGTTTAGTAACGGGGACCGTGCTTGCTTTTCAGTCCTTAATTCTGAGATGGTGCCATCGGGGCAGTTCCATATTAAAACGTGCTGGCCAGACCTGCTGGGACTGGAGGGAGCCGACGTCACTGGGCACAGCCATGGTCAAGCTGTGGTTGGTCCAGGCTGTGATCTGCTTCAGAGTGCCCTCAGTGCTGCTCCTCTGTCCCACTCAACACATGTCAGTGTCCTCTGCAATCGTGGCAGCCCTGGCTGGCTGTTCCTGACCAGCTTCTATTAAAGGATCTGTTTATCTGACTGACCTTGTTTTTTGTTTTTTGTTTTTTTGTCTTTTTTGTTTGTTTGTTTTTATCGGTACCAGGGATCGAACTCAGGACTGCCTGCTTGCAAGGCAGGCACTTATGCCGCTGAGCTAAATCCCCAGCCCCCCTGAGTGACCTTGTTTAATCCACAGCCATGCAGATGAGGTCCCTGAGGGCAGCCAGGCCTCCGCTCAGCTTGCCAGCAATTACTAAGAGTCACAGGTCCCAGGACAGCAGGTGCCTGGAGGGGCTGGGTGAGGGAGGAGCCCCGAGGGTTCTTTGAGGTTGAGACTCCCAGACAGGTGGGCATGGGGAGAGAGCAGGGGCTGCGTGCTGGAGGCCTGGGGAGAGAGCTGCCCGTGGGTGAGGCATGTCCCTTTCCTGCAGCCTGTTTCCGAGTCTGGAGGGGAGGGTGCCACGCAAACAGGGCTGTAACCTCCAAGGAGGGAACCAGCCTGGGTATCACTCTGCCTGTGGCCCTTCACAGTTCATTTCTGTGCTTCTTGGTGCTAGGGACAGAGCAGTGAGCAAGGAGAGGAAAACCCTGCCCTCATAAAGCTACAGACAGGGAGGTGGTTTACCAAGAGGCTGTGGTGTGCGGAGAGGAAGGCCAGGGCCGGTTCTTCCAGGAGGGAACAGGATGGGCAGCGCACGCAGGACCGTCAGGGAGGCCTTCGGAGACGCAAGGAGGGAAGAACCAGGCAGGAAGGACAGAAGTGCAGAGGCCCTGGGGAGTGGAGACGGGTGAGGGGTCTGAGGGTGCACAGGGCCGTTGGCTTCCGTCAGACGTGGGAGCCACACAGCCCGCACACCTTCGGGGGTCCCTGGCTGCAGGTTGGAAATAAGCTGCAGGAGGCCAGGGTAAAAGCAGGGAACAGTTCCCAGAGTGCAGGGAGAGGCAGCTGCTTGACACTCCTAGCTAGAGGAGTCGCTCAGCTGCACCAAGCTCCATCAGGACACTAGAGACCCCCAGTTCCGGGCTGTCACTGCTCACTGCCTCCGCACAGCCGAGGCACCCCTAGCTCTCCCCTCCCCCAGTCAGAGGGCAGCGGGACGGATCCCTGGCCAGGGAGGGATGTGGCTGGAGGCATGGATGGCCAGTGCTGCCAGGATGTGGGCATTGCAGCTGGGCAGGGTGGCCTGAGAGCAGCAGAGGGCGCCACCCGGCCCCGTCGCTTCTGGAAAGGGCAGGTGGACAGAGGGCTCCAGGGAGTGTTGCCTCTGCACTTGACACCCAGATAGGCGAGCCTGGGTTTGAATCCAGGCTCTGCTGCTTCTAGGCTGAGTGACCGTGGCGTTTATCATGTCCCAGTGTGTAAAATGCAGTTTTAGAGATGCCATGAGAATTAAACTAGCCTAAAAATGTCCAACGTTGTTCACGAGGTTCGTGGTAACTGCCCAGTATGTAGCGACCTTTATCACCTCATTGTGACCTGCTGGGTGTGACCTGGGCTGCCGGCCGGCATGGAGGTGAGGATAAGCACTTGGGGTGCAGTTTCCCCCCTGCAGCCCGCCTAGGGGCTCTCCTGGGCCCCAGCTCCCGTTGCCAGCAAACTTCCCAGGAAGTGACCCTGCGGAGGAGCACAACTGTCCCCGAGGGGCCCCAGATCTTAAAACAGGCTGCCAAGGGAGTAGGCTGGGCTCATGTGCGTCCCCAGTTCCTGAAGCAGACAGCCCAGCACAGCCACCAAAGGTTCAGGGGCTCTGGGACAGGGTGGGTCTCATGTGCCAGCAGTTGAGACTGATGCCCAGAAACCTGTGCCCGAGAACTGGTTCAGCTGCTGTGGTTTACCACTTCCGAGGGCGGGGTACGGGGCCGACACGTCTGCGTCCAGGTGCCCACAAGGAACCTCGTCAGTGCCAGCTCGGGGGATGGAGGCCAGGGCCGCAGGTGGGCGCGAGGCAGCGTCAGCAGGCCAGCCCTCACGCTCATGCCGCACCCTCACCTGCTCACCTCGGCCTCCCCCTACTCCACTCACGCGCGTCGCAGTTTCCTGAGAACTGAGCTCGCCCCACCCAGAGGCCCACCAGCAGGTGCAGGCCTGGGTGCTGGACGCCTGCCGAAAGGTGCAGGCTTGGGGCAGCTGTGGTGTGGGTCGGCTGGGAGGGCAGTCAGTTCAGGCTGCCTCCAGGCCCTTCCAGGGCTGATGAAGACAAGCGGGAGCCAGGCAGGCCAGCAGCCAGTGAGGCACTGTCCTGTACGACGCCGAGCGGCTGGGAGCAGTGGCCTCTCTCTAGCACCTTGAGAGGGGGACAGTGACCAGAGCATCCGTAAATATGAGAGGGAGGCCACACCTGCCCAGACTGCCCCTGGCACAGGAGCCAGTGAGGACAGCCAAGGCCCCCCAGGGAAGGGAGAGTTGGCGGTCGGCTGGGAAGCAGGAGCCAAGGCCAGCTGCCAGGCCTGGGGGCGCGGGAGTGGGGACACCCGACCACAGCAGCGGTGGTTGGGCCCCGAGGGGAGGCAGCCTTGGCTCTCAGGACCGGTGTGCACTGAGCAGAGAAGAATTTGCATCTTTGAGAAGAGGCAGGGCCTGGAGGCACAGGGCTGGGAGCCCACGGCCAGGCCAGCAGTCTCCAGTGCCCCGGGCTGGGTCGAGGGGGCAGGCCCAGCAGCCCCCCAGCAGCTGCCGTAACCAGGCTTGGCATAGCTGGCTCCCAGGCCCCTTGGCCCTGGGCTTGGGTTTTGCTCTGTGTGGGGCACATAGGTTCAGAAAGCAGAGCGCTCCGGTACCTGCACCAGCGCACACTCACCCACATACACGCACTCTCACCTCCTAACTGGTTTTTTTTCCCTGCAATTTCTTATGAGTCAGGAATATCTACACTCTATGCTCTCAGCCTTTCGAAGAAAGTGCTACGTTTCTGTTACTGACATGCAACTCTCATATCATAGTAAAGAGCTCATCGGGTCAGAGCTTGCTGGCCTCTGCTATATGGTCACACACCTTAGGGCCCTTCCCCTAGGCCCCCATGTGGAACACGAGCAGCTCCTGGAGGTGCCCTCCCAGGAGGCCGGTGCCCTGAAAAACTAGATGCCACCGTTACTCCCAGCTCGAAGCATGATCGCAGAGGGTCCGAAGCCCTGTTTGTTCCTTCCACGAAGCCACGGAGAAAACCCAGCTTTGCTGCCCTGCACTCCTGCTTCTGTGTCCTGCCCCCGCGCCCAGCAGCAGTAGATTCCCTAGGAAGCTGCCTCCAGGGTACCACTGCCCAGAGCTGGAGACTCAGCAAGGAGCATGCTTGGCCTGGCCCCTGGCCCCCGGGTGCTGTCATTTAGATGACACAGATGGTCCTCACACCAAGCCTGCCCAGGAAGGATGGTTTCAAGATCCCCTAAAGAGATGCCAAGGAGATAAATCAGGGAGAGGTAGAGCCACATGGAGCCGGTGGACAGGGGCACCAGGAGTCAGCTGAAGGTGGCTGCAGGGAAGTGGCCTCCTCTTGAGACCAGACATGGGCTCCTCAGAGCACAGCTACAGAAGGGCGAGGAGTCCTGCAGGGCGTGTGTGTGTGTGTGTGTGTGTGTGTGTGTGTGTGTGTGTGTGAGAGAGAGAGAGAGAGAGAGAGAGAGAGAGAGAGAGAACAAGCTGGAGCTTCACTCCAGGGCCTAGGTGCCTCGGAAACCATGGCCCCCGCAGTCTGGGCCCAACTCCAAAGCTCTGAGCTGGATTCTGCTGAAGTGGGCAGCCTCCACCCAGGCCCCCAGCCAGGCGCTCCTGGTAGCACCTGGGCCTGGAGAAGAGCCAGCCCTGCCCCAGACCAGCCACGTGGGCACAGCCACCAAGGCCCTTTCAGGGAAGCAAGCTGTCCCAGGTTTTTTCTGGGGAAGAAAGGACGTGTGGGGCTGAGTCCCTGCTGGCCTTGTCCTGTCTCTCCCCACAGTGTCCCCGAGGTCCTGGGTGAGGTCACAGAGCACCTCACTGCAGTGACACAGGGAAGGGATGATACCCGTGGGTTCACAGGATGCACTGTCCCTGCCGGAGCCTCCCTTGGCGCCCTGGAGTGACCGAGGTCCAGGGGGACCTTGCTGAGGATCTCGAGCTGCAACAACAGCAGGGAGCACCGAGGGGTCATCACGGTGCCCCCCGAGGAGGCCCACCACGCCGCCGCAGGCCCAGGCCCGAGACTGCTGTTTATCCTCGAACCCGTTCCCCCGCCTCCCCAAGGCTGTGTGGAATCCGCACTGCCCACAGGAAGACGAAGGCCCTGCTGAAGATTTCAGGCTGCCTGGGCCGGCTCCTCTGAGGTCCCGGCTGCCCGTGGTCCCCAGCACCAGCATGGCAGTGCTAAGAGGTGGGCAGGACGCAGGCTCCGCTGTCACTCCCACCCGGGCTGGGATCCAGGGTGACCTGGGGCAGCTGCTGAGCTACTGGGCCTTGGTGTCCTCACCTGTCACCCCTGCTTCACGGGGTCACTGTCAGACTGCCGGCTTGGGCTGGCCGGAGCTCCCTGCCCTCCTCTGGGGACCAGGTAACAGCTGGGGGCCAGCTCCTCACTGTGTCCAGTGTCCCTTTTCCCCACCCGGGCCCTGTGCCAGCCAGGCCCGCCCGTGCCGTATCTCCCAGATGGCACCATAAAGCCAACCCCCAGCCTGTGCGCCCGGAAACAAACAGCCCCTCCCAGAAACCCCACCCGCCAGAGGCCACAGCAGCATGGTCAGCTGGTAGGACACCTCCTGTCCTGGCCAGGTGTGAGGGCTGTGGTCAGGGCTGCGGCTGAGGTCCCGCCTCCCCGGAAAGGGACTCCCCAGACCTCAGCGCCCTCCTTCCATCGTCCGTCATCCTCCTGCTCTCCAGGTGTCCCTGTTCCCCTCTGAAGAGAGGCAGACAGACCCAGGGGACGTGAGCATCAGCGGTTCCTCCACCAATCAGGGGACTGCGGCCTCCCTGGCTGGCTGTGGGGGCTGACAGCCTGCTGTGGGTGTCCCCGCTGCAGGGCACCCTCTGACCTGTCATCTACCTGAGTGACACGGGGCAGCCCTGGAGAGGACAGCCTGCCCTGCTCCCAGGGCCCTGGGGGACAATGTGGGCCTCTGTGCTATAGCAGTGGCAGTTTCCAGTGTGGGGGACCAGGACACTGAGGGGCCCCAACACCTTGACCAGAGTGGGGCAACACTGCCCCAAGCTACCTGCCTGCCACCTCCACGCCAGCCACTGGTTTCTGCCTTTCTTCTTCAAAACTTTCTCCCTGTACCCGGATTCCGGACACAGAGCACCTGCCCCGAAGTCTCACTTGGTCCCAAGGTGCCTGGGTCCTCACGGCCCCGTCTTGTGAGCGGGGTGTGAGCCCTCCTGAGGCTGCATTATTTGAGCCAAGCTGCCAGGGTTTAGGTCTCTGCTGTGTACCATCTGGCCTTGTCTCTGCCTCAGTTTCCCCATCTGTAACATATGGTCCATGGGAGACCAGGGTCCACCAACCAGGGCTCAGATGTGCTCCCCGCCCAGGAAAGCAGAGGTGACAATGCCCACCTCAGCCCCCCATGTGAAAAGGCCAGAGCCAGGGGCGACAGTGCCTGCCAGGCAGCCCCCCGGGATCCCAATGAGATGGGAGCAACCCCAGGAGGGAGAGATCTGTGGGGGAGGAGGGAGGCCAACCAAGGTCACCCCTGGCCAGGGGACCATCCCACTCTGGGAGACTCTGGCTTCTCACCCTGCTGGTCCCTGCTCTGGACCTCCGCACCCCATCTCCTTCATCCATAAGCTGACGAGGTGAAGTGAGGCGGCTGATGTACAGTTCATAGCACTGTGGGGTGCAGAGGGGAGGAGCCGGCGAGGCCAGGGCATCCGTGCTTGAACTGACCAGGACCCAGTGACAGGAGGGCTGATCCGGCCTTTGGCTGTTAGAGGACCAGGCTGAGACCCAGAGAGGGAGAGGAGCTCCCCACCACGGAGGCTGCCCAGGGAGGGTCCCCACCCCCAGCCGCCCTCGCCCCCCCTTCCTGCCACTCTGTTCTTGAAGCCACACTCTGAGGAGCCCCCTGCTGCCCCCCCACCTGGTGGCAAGATGCCCCAGCCCCTGCCTGCCTTCGCCTGGTTAGCTCTAAGGCAGGTGGTGGGGTACACAAAGGGGGACCCTGCCTCAGCCCTGGGGACTGGCACTGCCTGGGGAAACCGAGGCAAGGGGCGGTGAAGGGACAAAGCGACTCTGCAAGGTCACGGGACTTGTGCACCCCACATGCATGTGTGCTCACCCCTCCTCACACCCGCCTCCAGTCCTGCTCTCCAGCTGCTTCTGGGCTCTGATCTGACTCCCCGAGCCCCCAGGGGGCTGGGCCCAGAATCCAGGCTCCACAAAGACTGCGTGAGTGGCCGCCAGCAGCAGCAGGTGTGGGGTTTCCTTGCCTGCTGGGCAGTGACACCCGAGCTGCTGGATGGCTCCCGTTTGCTGCTGCAGCAGCTGCAACCCAGCCCGGGGGGGATCCTGGCTTCTCTGAGTGGCGCAGGAGCTCCACGGGGCACAGGAGTGGAGCATCACTGGTGCAGGTGGGGCGGCTTCAGGCACCGCCCAGGGCCAGTGGAAGGTGCAGGGGCAAGAGGTGGCCCACGGCGGAGGAAGGGCTGGAGAGCACACGCACCCCTGCCCGCCCCCCAGGGTGGGTGGGAGCAGAAGGAAACCCCGCACCAGGAAGGAAGCAAAGCCAGCTCTCGTCCCCCCCCCGGCCCTCCTCTTCCCACATGCCATGGCCACTGCTGTCCCTGCCGGTCAGCTCTCCCACGGGAACCTTGCCGGACATCTTCTCCCCCACCCATTGTCCTGCGGCCACCCGGCCACACCCAGCAAAGCCCGCCTGTCTGTCTACTCCTTCATCTCACGCACAGCTGTGCCAGGCGCTGCAGGTATGACCCCACGATACCAAGCAGATGCCGCAAAACCCTGTCTGTCTGTGGGGGTCACAGGCCAGGAGGGCCGTTTAATAATGCTGAATCTGTGCTGGGCCCCACCTGGGGATCCATGAAGGCAGGACTGGAAAGGGCTGCTTGGGAGAGATGCCTTCCAGAGGAGCCACGCCAGGGGTGGCAGTGCACACCGGTAACCCCGGCACCCTGGGAGGCTGAGGCAGGAGGACTGCAACTGTGAGCCCAGTCTGCGCAACTGAGACCTAGTGAGACCCTGTCTCCGAACAAAAGTGAGCCGGGATGCAATGCAGGCCCTGGGTTCCATTTCCATCTCACGGCAGCGGCTTTGGGGTTGGGGTTGAGGCCGAGGGTGCTGAGCACTTTCTGGGTGCTGCTGCTGTGTCCCGTGCACCCTCCAGGCCCCGCTGAGCCGTTTCAGCTCTGTCTGCTCGAAGCTCCTGCCGTTACTGTGTCTCCTGGAGGCAGAGCGGGTCCCAGCCTGGGCAGGGCAGCGGCAGAGGCATCAGAGGGTCAGATCCAGTGACCCAAGGGCCCTGAAGATGGCCGTGGCGGAGGGGGTCTGGGTGCTGAGCCGCACCCCTCCTCCGTCCACCCCGTGGTGTCTCCTGTGTCCTCACCTTTTCCTGTTGTCACCACGCATTTCGTTCATCTGTCCTGGTGCTGTCTGCAGGGAGCAGAGGAAGGTGGTGACGCCCCCGGGTTCTTACACCACCAAGCTGGGCTGAAGAGAGCACTGGGGGCCAGCAGGTTGACCCTGCAGCCCGGGGTCGGGGCCGTGGGACGGGGCCTGTGGGATTTCAGGGGCCACAGGCCGTGGCGGGGGCCTGCAGGTGCCTCCATGGCTCCTCTGGTTGGAGCCTGGGATGGGAAGGCAGAGGGGAGAACCCTCCAGGGAGGAGGAGCCTCCATCACTCACCTGTGACATCGCCCGCACCCCAGGATTCCCCGGGGGCTGCACGAGAGCCTGTGCAGGTGGGGCTGCCAGGGCAACCTCGACCTTGGAGGACCGCTGGCTTCCATGGTGTGCTTAGCAAAAATGACGAGAGGGCCCAGCGAGGCCCAGGTGAGAGAGTCTCCAGGCCGGGGAAGGAGACAGGAGTCCGAGATCCCTCAGAGGCCATCAGAGCACCTGGCTCACATGGACGAGTCTCAGACTGTGACCTGGCACCCCGAGGCTGCACCGCTCCTGACCTATAAAGGAAGAGAGTGTTGACCGCTCTGGCACGGGGAAGGCTGAGAGCGGCAGTCCCTGAGGACGCAGGGCAGGAAGCAGCAGGGCCGGTGCGGGGCTGGTCCCTGGCTCACCTCCCCAAGCCTGCATCTTGGGGGCCTCAGGTGGCACCCTGCCCCCAAAACGCAGCGACCACCTGGGGGCCCCGTAGGTAGCTCGGACCCGCTCTCCCACCTGTCTCTGCCGTCGGTCCCCCGCCCAGGTTTGTGAGTCTGACTCCAGGGTGGAGAGAACTGGACTGACTTCAGGTCCTTCCCGAAATGTCTAAGTCCTCCCCGGGAGTGTTTATCCTCCCCCCAGCACTGCAGGAGAGCTGGCTCGGTGGGTCCTGGTCCACAGCCCTGGCAGGTTGGAGGTACTCGGAACATTTGCTGAAGGTGTGGCTGGGGGTCAGGCATGGAACAGGCCTGGGGGTGCTCAGGAGGAAACGGGGCTGGGGGTGCAGCCTGGAGCCAGCTGGGGAGGGGGGAGCACCTGGCAAGGCCTGGGAGCACCCATGGCTGCGGGCTGATGGGTGCTGCGTGTGTGACACCAGGAGTCCCTCCAGGGGTTAGAGGACCCCCCCCCCCAGTCGTCCATTCCCTGGGGCCTGGTGGAAGGAGCTGGGAGGCAGCTCAGGACACAAAGGCCAGGCCCTCCCTGGAGAGCTGCCTGATAAGGTGGGTACATTTCAAAGGGGCTGCTGGCTGGGGAGAGCTGCTGATAGTGGGCCTCCCGGGGGCCATGACTGCCCCCTCCCCCAGCCCCTGGCCTCTGTGCAGAACAGCACGATTGTGCTCTTATCAGCTGTGGTTTCTCAGGCCCAGCGGCCCTGCCGTTAATGGGCACAAGGCAGCAGCCAGCGGGTGTGGGCAGTGACGTGGACCCCCCACCTCTGCCCCTCCATAGCAGGGGGCCCCTGGTTCTAGGAGGTGGGGCGGTGTGGCCCTGTCACTTAGCCCCTCACCACACAGTGCCAACCTCCCACTGCTCAGTTCCTCGGTTTCCCCACTGAAGTTACAACAGGACACTAGTAAGCTGGGCGTGTGGCATTCACCTGTCATCCCAGCAATCGGGAGCTGAGGCAGGAGGATCACTGCAAGTTCAAGACCAGCCTGGGCTGCAAAATGAGCCAAGGCCAGGCTGAACTGCATGAGGAGACCCTGTCTCAGAAAGACAAAACAACAATGAGGACAAACAGAACATTATCGACTGAAGCGCTGGCCCTGGAGCTGTCAGGATGACTGGGTGCACTGACCCCACCCTGGGCACGGTTGAGTGGCACCTGAGAGCTGCTCACTGGCACTGGGCACCGGGCACCGGGCTCACAGAGCAGTTGGGGAGAAGCAGGCAGGGGCGACGAGAAGGAGAGGGTCCTTGTCCCCAGCTGTCCCCACGCCAGGCCGGGCTGCAGGAGCCATGTCCTCTCTGGTGCTTGGGACAGCGAAGGCCAGGATCGAAGGCCCCAAGCCCACCCTCCGAGCTGGAAGTGGGTCTCTTGTAGCAAGAGGAAGCCCATGGGGGCAGCCCGCAGGAGGGATTCTGGGGGTCATCCCACCCTCTGAGGTCAGGTGCGCCTGAGGCGGGGCTGGTGGCCTGGACACTGAAAACACCCTGCTTCCGGGCATCCTTACTGCCCTTACTGCCACCCGGCATGGCCTGCTGTCCTGGAGAGAAGACCCAGCAGACGCGGCCCGGCACCTGCACATCTGCGCATGTGTGGCCAGGACTCGGCCTGGACCTGGGACTGTGGCAAGGCACAGGGAATCAGACACTGACAGATGCGCGGGCACAGCTCGGGGTGCGTGAGGTCCCTGGAGGGCAGGGGACCCCGGAAGATGGTCGGAGAAGAGGGCTGGGCAGAGCGGAGTGGTTCTTGCAACCAAAAAAGTAGGAGAAAGTCGGGGTCGGGATTTAGCTCAGCGGAAGAAGTGCCTTCTCCAGGTGCACTGGCACCCTCCTCTCCGCTAGTCGGGAAGCAGAGGCAGGAGGGTTGCTGGTTCAAGACCACCCTGGCAACTCAGTGAGACCTTGACTCAAAAAAGCAAAAGCTGTGGCGGGAGCTCAGGGGCAGAGCCGTGCCTGACACGTTTCAGTGCCCAGTGCTGCAGAGGGAGTCTGTGTGTCTGCTCGGGTGATCCTGAGGCCTCCCCGGTGCACTGTGAATGCGTGGGGTTGGAGGACCCAGTGACCTCTGCCAGGGCCTTGGACTCGACCCTGAGGGCCTCCCTCCCCCATAGCATTGCCTGGTGGGCAGCCTCAGGCTGAGGGCAAAGTCTTCCCCTCACTCTGGTGGCTCCTTTTAGCTCTCGGAGGCCCCTTCCTCTCCCTCTGCAGGCATGGGTGCAAACAGCCACAGAGCAGGCCCAGGACAACAGAGCCTGGTCTGTAGGTCAGCCCACCTAGAGAAAAGCAGAAAGTCTATTTGTTGTGCAAAAGTCCTGGGGCAGGCAGCCCTGAGGAGACGGTCTAGCACTGGGAAGGAGGTTCTTTCTCTACAGTCCTCGGAGACCTAGGCTCCTTTTACATCAGTATTCTGCCATCTTTTCCTCATGGTCCAAAATAGCAGCCACACTGCTAGCTATCACAGCTACATCCCAGGCAGCTGGATGGAGGAAGGATAAAGGTCATAAATGGTACATGTCAACTTTGCTTTTCCTTTTTTCTTTTTTATCAGTGCTAGAAATTGAACTCGGTGCCTTGCATATGCTAGACAACTGCCCTACCTCGGAGCTACACCTCTAGCCCTTCCTAGCTAACTTTTAGAAAAGGTTCTTAGAAATCTTGGCACATAACACTTTCCTTTGGTCAGAGTCACACCTAGCTGCAAGGGAGGCTGGGAAGGTCTTCATTCCAGGCAGCCTTGTGTCCTGCTAAAAATCATGGCTTGTTCATCAAAGGAAAGGGGCAAAGGCCTTGAGGGTAACCAGCTTTGCCTGGTACCCCGTCAGCTCAGTGGGCATCACGGGCTCCAGTACCCACCTGCATCAGTGCCCGAGATGTCGAGGGGTCCAGCAGGGCCAGCAAACAGCAGATGCGTCTTAGAGGGGCCATCGGTGTGAGAGCCTCGGAGCACTGGGTTGGGGAGTCCTCCTGGAAGCAAAGGAACCTGGAGGGCTGGGCCTCTGGGGTCCACTGTTGGGCGCAGCCATCCTGGAACCTGAGGTCCCCGCCCACCGTCCCTCCAGCCAGCCCCAGGTGCTACATGCTCGTGCCTTGCCAGGCAGCCAGGCTCCGCAGGTGGAGGAAGGGGTGGGTGTGGGGGAGCCCCCAGCCCGCCGCCAGGCCCTGACCCCTGGGCAAGCAGGGGCCCTGGAAGGGTTAAGCAGGAGCCCGGCCGAGGACTGAGGAAGCAGGGAGTGTGTTTGCACAGGTAAATAAGGAAGGATTACTTATAATGGGAGTCGGCTGGTCCGGGCTGCATCTCCAGGAGCCACTCCCTCCCTGCACATTTCTGCACTCAGCGTGCCCGCCAGCCCTGGCCAGACCCTGTGACGGTGACAGCCGGAGGCCTCAAGCACGGGCTGGGGCCCCCCACAGGCACAGACCGAGACTCACTGGCCAGCTCCTGAGGGCGGCCCACCCGAGAGGCCCCTCCATCCCCAGCCCTGCTGCCCCGGCCCACCGGCCTCCCCATGCCTGGCTGAGACGGTGGCCCCAGCTGTGCGTGCCTCCTCCTGTTCCTCTCCAAGACTGGCACTGGGCAGCCGACGGGTGAGTCTGGTGGGGGCGCCAGGTGCCTGCTGTGCTGAGCCCCTGACCACGGTGGGAATTTGGGGATGCTTTTGAAGTTGGGAGCTTGTGCTACACGTGGCAGCAACCCTGTGACCTGGGTCCCTTTTCCTTCTTAGTCCCCTGTCAAGCCTGGGGAGCCCTTGGCCCTCCGAGTCCACGGACTCTGTGTTGACCCCAGCTACCCAGGCTGAGAGGAGGCAGGGGGCTACCAGCCTGGAGGCCTGGCCACTTCTGCTCTGCCCGCAGCCCCTCAGCCATCAGTCCTGGCTGCTTTGCCAAGGAGCCTCCCTAGCCATGGCAGCAGGGGCTTGCTGGTCTGGAGGGTCCAGGTTGGGGCTGGGCAGGGTGGGCAGAACCAGGCAGCTTTGCCTCCTCAAGCATGTGGGGAAACTGAGATCCTAAGACCTGCCAGATCCCTACGAGAGGGTGGAGAGGCGCCAGGTGGGCAGTCGAAGGGCCTATGTGTCCAGGTTGTGCATGGGTGTGCACACTGTGTGCACGCATATGTGTATTTGTGTGCGGGCCCTTCTCCTCACCCCAACAGCTGCGACCTCCCAGCAGCTCACACCCAGCCGCAGCCTCCTTTATGATGCCCGTGGTCTCTGTGCTCCTAGCCAGCAGGGTCAGGGCTCCTCTGAACTTCCTGCCTCTACTTCCCCAGCAAACAGCACCTCCATGACCCCCCAGTAAAGCAGCAGCTCCCCAGCACCAGCTGCTCAGCTGAGTGACAAAGCAAACAGGCCTCAGGTTGCCCAGGGCCGCAGTGCCTGGCCGAGAGGTGCCCAGGCCAGGGCTCTGCCAGGCCAGCAGAGCCAAGTGTTCCGGGGCCCCCTGCGGGCATCTCCACCCCTGGCCCAAGGCAGGAGGGGTGGCCTCCGAGCTGGCAGCAGTGGGCACCCTGGATGGGGACCCTGTCCCTGGAGGCCTATGGGAAGCAACGGAGTTTCCCAGGTGCTCAGCATCAGTTACAAAGTTACAGCCACTTTCCCTGGGACCCTCTGCGCAAGCGGGGCTTCCGGGATACCCGCACCCAAGGGTGCTCCATGGATGCTTGAGAATCGCCAGTGGCAGTAAGCAGAGGGTCCGGGAGAGACCACTGTTTACCACTGAGGTCCCAGTGATGTAGCTCCAGGCGATGTGGCCTGAATGTAACATGGAGAAGTCAGGGCGCCTGGGGGTTGAGGACTGGCTGGGTGCAGGGCCTGCAGGGGCAGCCGTGGGGCCTGCTGCTCTCATCACACCTTATTCACCGCTCCTGTCCTCTTTTAAAGGAGGCTTTATGGAGGAGACAAAACAGCAGGACTTTGAGGGCTGCATAGGAGTTGGTTAGACTAGCAGGCTAGATTTGCCTGCTTGAGTCCCAGGCTGAGGTAGGGGAAGATGAGAATTCCTGGCTCTGGCTCCTCCTAGGGGACAGGAGACAGCCAGATGGCAGGATGTCCTCCCAGGCTCCCCAGTACCACCGTCCTCCTGGGGGTCCTGCTGGGGCAGGGTTCCAGCCTGCCCAGGGATCCTCCCTGTCTGCACCCCTGTCCCTGTGCTCTAGCCTGCTGAGTGGCCCTGCAGGTGGAGCAACGCTTCCCAAAGCAAACTGGCTTGGGCCAGGCTTGCCTTGGGCCCTTCCTGACATTTAGCCCGGGTCCTGTGCAGCTCTCAGCAGAGCCAGGGCACCTGCCAGCTTCTCCCTCAGGAAAGGGTCTGTGTGCGAGGGACCCCGGGTCTGGGAGTGTCAGGGCCTGGCTGCCTCTGATCTTGGCCAAACGGTCCTGGGCTGCGGGGTCCCCACTCCTGTGCAGCCTCCAGGAACAGGTCATCCTCTTCTGCTGTGGCCGGCAGCCCTCAGGCTCTCCCCGCCCACTTCCGACCTTTTGAGCCTCCTGACTTAGTGTCTCTCATGTCCCCGCACTTGCTTTCTCCTTGCTTCCATGCCCCCCATTTCCTAGTCTGCAGGGCGCCCTTCGGGGCGTGGGACTCTGGGCACCTCTCCTCCACCAGCCCCTGCAGACTGAGCAGCCAGAATCTGCCCTGCCTCTGCCTCCCCGCCAGACACAGGAGTAGAGCCCAGTTCCTGAAGTACACATGGCCTGGGGAGGGGCCTGGCCTTCCCGTGCCTCTGTCCAGCCCGGAGTCAGATGTCAGCTGCAGTATGAGTCCCCTGCTCACTGGGGAGGAGGCCAAGGTCCAGTGCGTTGGCCACGGTGCCCAGGCCACAGCTGTAGAACCTGGTGACCTTGGGGGCCCTCAGGCCCTGGCTTCCAGGACGAGGCTTGGGCAGGACCCCCGAAGCGAGATGCTCCCAGTGGAGACGGTGCTAGACAGGGAGCAGGGCTTGGGGGCACGCGCTCTGCGTGGTGTGGCCGCAGGTTGGGTCTTCTGCCCGTGTTCCGGGCCCTGGGCTCCTGTAGCTGGGGTCCCTGGGCTCCTGCTGGCTGGGGGAAGTGGGGACAACCTGACAGGGCTGCTGCTGGCCAGAAGGGTAAGTCAGTCTGTCGGAGCCTTTGCACATCCACTCCAGGGATAGTGGGGGAAACTGAGTCACACCTCGTCTCGTACCTGAAGTATGCTGTCCGGGGAGCTTCTGCCACCACTGCTGATCTCTGCCACCTCCCTCCCAAGGCCCAGAGCCAGGCAGAGGGGTGAGGGGGGCCACTGGGTGTAGAATTGCTTAGATCTGGACTAGAAGAGAGTCAAGGAGGAGACCTGGGGAGCAGGGCCCATCCTGGGCCTCGTGTGCCCTGCCCACTGCGAGCCTTCAGATCAGGCTGGGACGTGGGGTGGCTTGGGACAACCCCACACCCCCCTTTTCAGGGCATAATATCTAGGGGCCAGGCGGGCAGGTGGGGAGGGGGACTTGGGGATCCTCCATGGGTGCCAGGCCAGGCGGGTGGCTTCTCTCCAAGGTGCTGAGCAGCAGATGGGGGTGTGCGCTTGCGCGCGGCACCCCGCCTGGTGACCCAATCCCCTCCAGGGCTGCCCACTCCCATGTGCTGGCATGGGCCATTAAAAGGGTACAGAGGTTTGGAGGGGCAAGGAAAGGCAGTCAGTAGGGAGCCCGGGAAGGCATTCCTGCCTCCCTCTATCTTCCCGTCGCCCTGTCCCACTCGTGCCCGATGGGGCCTGAACCGGGTCCAGGGCTCCCTCGGACAGGGTGGGTCCAGGAGTCATGTGGGTGCCAGGCCTGTCTCTCCCACACCACAAGCCCTGGAAGGGGAAGCTGGGGGCCCTGGACTGGACGGGCTGAAGCAGGGACCTCCCCAGTGACACCATGCCTGACACGGTGACAGGTGGCATGTGGGGAGCGCTGCCCCTAACCCTGGCCTCCACTTTCTCCCCCACCTGCCTTCCTAAGTTGGAGGTGGCTAATCCCCCGCTCGCTCCCCATCAGCCTCCACCAGCTGTTACCAAACCCCCATTGTCTGGAGGGGTAGCTGGGACGCAGGGCGCCCTAATCCACACACGCAGCTTAATCCAGAGGATCAAGTGGAGGTTTGAGAGCTGGAGGCATCGCTCGGGAGACGGCGGCCCTGGAGGCCAGGCTGGCTACTGACCCTGGTCCAGCGTCCCTGGGCTACAGCCCAAGGGGCAGCGGCCTGAGTGTCCGGAGGCCTCTGGCCTGCGCTGTGAGGTGCTCTCTGCTCCTCAGCCTGGCCTGCAGAGGTGCCCCGTGGGCAGGCCGCAGATGGGGTTCATCCCCGCTGAGGACCCAGTGCTGCTGGGGAACCAGGGAAATCAGAGGGGTGCGGGCAGGAGCGCTGCTGGGAGGAAGGTTGCCCTGGATGAGAAGCCCTGGGCATCCCTGGCGGGGCCCCACACACAGGAGAAAAGAGGCATTTTGTGTCCGTAGCGCAGCATGAGCCTGGCTGCCTGGTCCCCATGTTACCTCTGCCTTGGTCCAGACCCGTGACAACCATCGCACTACCCTGCCCCACTCTGGCTTTATTGTCCCCCTCTAAACCCAGCCTGGTGACTCAATCCCCTCCAGGGCTGCAGGTCTGGGCTGGGTAGGAGTGGGCTGGGGTGGGGGGCTCCAGCCACTCTCTGGGACCAGAGGCACTGGGGTACCACACGGGCCTCAGAGCAGACGGTGAGGGGTCCGAGGGAAATGAGCAGCAAAAGTGGGCATGAACATCATCAGGGAAGAAGGAACCCCACAGCAGACCCTCCAGGCAGAGGGCGGAGCCAGCGGGGGCTCGGTCAGCGGTGTGACCCCCTGAGGCTCCCCAGCTGCATCTACCTGGCAAGGCCAAACCCAGGCTCCCAGGCATGGGTGACGAGGCCAGCAGGTGTGTGCCCCAGGCAGCTGGGCAGCGATGGGGGGTGGCTGGGCACACGGGTGCCCAGTGTGCTCCCTGCCAGCGAGGCGCAGCCTGACTTGGGCTGTGGGGACCTGGCCCCCCACCCTCTCCGCTGCTGCCACTGCGTTAACCATTAACTCAGGGGGTGCCGGAGCCAGGCCAGGCTTGCCGGGGAGCAGCGCCTGGCATCTAGCAGGGCGAGGGGAGCCAGCGTGCGGGGTGCAGAGGCCAGGGTGGGAATGTGCTGCTGGTAACACTGCCCTGGGCTGGAGCTGGGAGCTCTGGATCCTGGCCGCACGCCTCTCTGTGCCTTAACTGCCCATCAGAACAGGGGTGAGGGCGAGTCCCAGCCAGGCCACCACCCTCCAGGGCAAGGGACAGGTGCACGGGACAGAGGGCCGGGAGCACTGCCCCGCCCGTCCATCCCCCGCTGACCCCGCAGCAGAGCCCCCACCCCAGCAGCTGCCACCCTCCCCGGGAGAGCCCCAGAGGAAGCCAGCGCCCTGCTCCTCCGCAGCGCCGCCTCCTGGCCTGTGGCCCGGGCGCTGGCAGAGGCCGGCCTAACGTGGCAGGCACGGGGCCCAGGAGTGGCGGGGGCCTGAGGGGCTCTGCAAGGTAGAGCCACCTGGGCAGGGCGTGGGCACCATCCAGGGTGGGGCCGGGCAGGTCGGCTGTTCACACTACCTGGGTAAATAGCACTGGCCACGGCACACAGGAGTATTTGCAGAGAAGGACTTGGCCCGCCCTCTGTCCCCCAGCCCGCTGTGTCCCTGCCCACCCCGCCTGGCCTGACCTTTTCTTCCTTGTCACTTAAAGGAGCCCTTGAAAGGAAGAATCGATGGCAAAGGGAACAGCCCTTTGTCTTGTTGGCAGGAAGCGGCAGGGCTGCCATGTGGAGGTGGGAGGGTTGGGCACTGAACAAGGGGGTGTGCGGAGGGAGCTGCCACCCTCCCTGGCGCAGGTCTCCAAGGCCTGCTGTCCCGAGAGGAAGGGACGTCACTTTCTGGGCTGTTGGGAAGGATGAATGCCCGCTAGCTGCCTGCCACCCACCGAGGCTGTGCAGGCCGGTGCCACAGGTTGACAGGGGATAGCCAGGGACCCTGGGTGCCCACCCGCCATGCCAGCCACGCCAGGGGCCACCAGACAGCCACCGCCAATCCCCAGCTGTGCACTTCCCCTCCGGGCCAGAGGTCTTCACCGAAGTCACCCAAAGGCCTGGGAGGTCGATCGGCTCCGGCTCCACCCCTGGTCCTGGGGCAGCCGAGGACGAGGCTTCTGCCACCGAGCCCTGAGGGCCCGGGTGCCCCCTCAAAGGGACAAACCAGCCTGTCCTGCCCGCGAACTGTGCTCTTTGTCTCCTCTTTTTTTTTCTTCTTCTAGTAGTGGCACTGGGGGTTGAACCAGGGGCTGCATTCCCAGTCCTGAATTTTTATTTTGAAACAAGTTTTCATTAAGTTGCCCAGTATGGGCAATCCTCCTGCCTCAGCCTCCCAGAGCGGGGCACTGGCCTTACTCCTGTCCTCCTTGCTAAACACCCCTCGAAGCTCTAAGGGCACAGGCTTCTCGGCCACCTTCTACTTCCGTTCCTGTTCTTTTGCCTCAGGCTCATGACTCACCAACTGTTCCAGGGACCCCAGGGGTTTTACGGTGCTAACCTAGAAAGTCCCCTTCCCAAGGCCACACACTGATGGTTGTTAGGACAACCTTGGGGAGGGTTCAACCTCTGCCCTGCCACTCCAGCAATGGGCACAGCACAAGAGATCTAGGTTAGGCTGGCAGGAAGGATTGGTACAGGAAGGGAGCCCTGGTCAAATCTCAGTTTGTTCATCTGCCAAATGGGCCACCAGTGCTGTCCGTCCCAGCCTCAGGGTTGCATTGCCCACTGGGCTTGAGGCTGGATATGTAGCTTGAAGCCAGCCTGGCGCCTCTCCTGCCCCTGCCTTCCCAACCAGCACTGATCTCCATGCCCAGTGACCCAGAAGCCCCCGCCCCTACCCCTCTTCCCCACAACCAGCTTAACGGCCCTGCGGGACGTGGTCAGCCTGGTCTCTCTCCTCTCTGTAGACACAGCCGCCAGCCCAAGCAGCAGCGGCATGGGCAGCGCCAGCCCAGGCCTGAGCACCGCGCCCCCCAGCTGCCTGCTGCTGACCCCGGACGTGGCGCTGCGCTCGGCCCTGGGGAAAGTGGCAGGGCCCAGCAAAGGGGACTGGAGCCCCAGCCCACCCACCACACCTGAGCACGGCCTGTCCGCCCTCTACCTCTCCGACTTTGATATGCTCTACCCTGAGGACAGCACCTGGGTGGCCAAGGGCCCCGAGCCCAGCTCCCGGGAGGAGCCCCCCGAGGAGCCCGAGCAGTGCCCGGTCATCGACAGCCAGGCCCCAGGGGGCAGCCTGGACCTGGCGCCGGGTGGGCTGGCATTGGAGGAGCACTCGCTGGAGCAGGTGCAGTCCATGGTGGTGGGCGAGGTGCTGAAGGATATCGAGACGGCCTGCAAGCTGCTCAACATCGCTGCTGGTGAGCCCTGGGCGGCCGTGTGGGGTCAGAGGGCTGGGGACACTGCTAGCAGCCCCGGGGCACCCCCAGCATGCAGTAGCTACAGCCCGCCTGGGAGCGGCCCCACATCCCCAGCCCCTCTTAGCGGGCGCGGGGTAAGGGAGATCCTAGCTTTGTTCCGGGACCCACTCGGCTCTCCTCTCCACTCGGCCTTGGCCTCCTGCAGTACCAGCCCCGGGGCCTTTCACCGCTGGTCCCTCTGCCTAGAATGCTTCTTCCCCAAACATCCCTTTGAGCTGCTGCCCAGACCCATCGGGTCCCAGCCCAGCTCAGTGAGGCCTTCCTGAGCGCTCCGGCTCCTGCTCCCTCACCGCTGTGGGTCTCTCTCTGTGCCAGCTTCCATCAGACCTGCAGCTTTCCCTGTCTTGTTTACCATGTGTGTCTTCCTCTAGAATACACACGCCACGGGGACAGGGATTTACCCCTTGCTTGTTCATTTCCACACCCCAGTGACTCAAATGACACCTGGATATAATAGCTGCTCAATAAACAGTTGTGGAGGGCCGGGGATTTAGCTCAGTGGCATAAGTGCCTACCTGGCAAGCACAAAGTCATGAGTCTGATGCCTGGGATCAGAAAAGTAAATAAATAAACAGCTGTGAGGTAAATTCAACCCTGAGCACTTATCCATTCCCCAAGCCCTGTTCCAAGGCCGGGGAACTGAGTGGGGACACGAGTGAAGGGCCCCGTGTCCCTGGTGTGATGGTGAGGTCCTGAACAAGCAGACCCTAGTGCCCCCGCCGTGTGTGGTGAGGAGGGGCCCAGGAAGCTGGGAAGGTGGGCGTGGCTTGGTCTGTGTACAGCCTTCACATAGAAGCGGGGGCCTCCCGCAGGGCTCAGGTCCAGCCACTGCCATCCACAGCAGTCCCGTGGGCAGCTCAGCCGATGGCCCTGTCCTCCTGTTTCTGCCTGTTCCTGTCACACCCCGCCCCGAAAGTCTCTGCACCCTCAGAACAATGGGGACAGAAACAGATCGCTTTGACCTCAGGGAGGGAGTGGGCGGTTACGGAGAAGGTCGAGGTGTTCTTGCTTGGTGGCCCTGCGGCTCTCTTTTCTGGCAGTCAGAAGTCACACAGCTCCAGAGCCGGTGAGCAAGGCCCAGGCTGCAGCAGCCTGCCTGCCGCGGATGGTGTGGTGCCAGCACTCACCGCATTTTTGATCCACCTCCACATACGAGCGGACTGCAGCGGGAGGGAGGATGCTGAGGGGGTTCGGGCACTGCACCCTCCACCGAGATAACTGTAGCATTTGAGCCTTCTCCATGCACCTGGAGCATCCTTGTGACTCCTGGTTGGCTTTTTCCCAGGTTCTTGAGGGTTTTGGGGAAGCAAGAAGTGGGCAAGGAGCTCCCGTGTTTCCAGTTTAATGTCCCTGCCCCTCCAGGGCGGGGGGCTCCGATGAAAAGTCCTTTCAAGGACCAGAGGGACCTGGGGGACCTGGGGCTGCAGAACCAGCAGCTGCCCTGGCCTGAGCCCTGTTGTTTTTAGGGTCCTGGCTGTGTCCTCTAACTCCTCTCTTTCCTGGGGTACCAGCCTCTGCCACGCCTCTATGTCCTGCCCAGACTGGGCTTGCCCCCTCCCCACGAGCCCCTGGCGTCTCTCCCTAGACCCCGTGGACTGGAGCCCCGGCAATGTGCAGAAGTGGCTCCTGTGGACCGAGCATCAGTACCGGCTGCCCTCCGTGGGCACCGCCTTCCAGGAGCTGGGGGGCAAGGAGCTGTGCACCCTGTCTGAGGAGCAGTTCCGCCAGCGCTCGCCCCTGGGTGGGGACGTGCTGCATGCCCACCTGGACATCTGGAAATCAGGTAGGACAGACAGGCAAGGTGACCCTCCCGGCTGCAGGCGCAGGCAGGTGAGGCCAGGATGCAGGTTGATTTTCCTCCATTGGGGAGCAGCCCCCACCCTGATCTGGACTCCCTGAGAATTCAGCCCCAGTGACAGCAGCCTGCCTGGGTCCCGGGGAGACTCACCAACCCATCCTGCTGCTGGCCCCGAATTTAACGCAGAGCACACAGAAGATGAAAGAAATCAGAGCCAAACACAGAGGTTCACACTCCTAATCCCAGCACTCTGGGAGGCTGAGGCAGGAGGATCACAAATTCAAATCCAGACTGGGCAACTTAGTGATTTAGCAAGACCCAGTCTCAAATTAAAAAAAAAAAAAAACTAATCCTACCCGTTAGGAGGCTGAGGCAGAAAGAGTTCAAGGCCAGCCTGAACTGCATAGTCCAAACAGGACTTGAACTTGAGATCCTCCTGCCTCAGCCTCCTAGAGCGCTGAGATTACAGGTGTGAGCAGTCTCACAGAGCTGCCCTATACGTTTCAATGGCTGTGTGCCAACTTATACACTTAACGCTGTCTCTGTGGCATGGGGCATGCTCTGTGAGCTGTATGCAGCTGGCCCCTTGGCTCAGGCAGTCAGGGTCCCTGCTTTAAGGGCCTAGAAAAAAGAAGGAGACAGGACCCAGGCACAGACCCACCAGAGGCCAGTGCTGCCCCAGATCAGGCCCAGGCCATTGGATGGTGACAAGGATAGGAGCATGGCCCCCTCTTCCCTGCTGTCCTCATGGAGATGGGAGAGCTGGGCCTGGCGGCCAGGGGGAGACTAGGGGGGCTGTAAGGCCTCAGTGCCCTGGGCAGCTGGGAGCAGGGAGTGGATCTTACAGTCCAGGTCCTGAGCGACACCCCCCATGCCTGCCGGCTCTCAGGTGAGCCCCAGGGGACGCATCCGCACCGGACCAGGAGGCAGGGACCTTCGCAGGAGCCCTGAGCTCTGGAACCCTCACTCTCCACAGCTCCTTCTAAGCAGCTTGCCTTCAGATTGGTGACTAGCAGGGGACTTCAGGGGACACCCCAGACACCAGCAGGGGTTCCATGGCCCCATGAGGGTGACTATTAGGTCCCCCTGCCTCCTCCTGAGCCCCTCCTGGGTCCCCAATCTGTTCTTCTTGCTTCTCAGCGGCTTGGATGAAGGCGAGGACCTCGCCCGGGGCTGTCCACTGCTGCGGTGAGCTGGGTGGACAGGGCGGGAGGGTGGCCGGAAGGCAGGGCGGCTGCCTCCGAGGCCAGGTGGCTGCGGCTGCTCACTCACCGCCCTTCCCTGGCCGCCAGCGTCCACCAGCGAGGACAGCTGGACCGATAGCGAGGTGGACTCCTCCTGCTCGGGGCAGCCCATCCACCTGTGGCAGTTCCTGCGGGAGCTGCTGCTCAAGCCTCACAGCTACGGCCGCCTCATCCGCTGGCTCAACAAGGAGAAGGGTGAGCCCAGGCTGCGCGGCAGGGGGCTGGGGACATGGGGGCTCAGGAGCTGCCCGTCCCCACCCTGGGTCCTGACACCATCACACTTGGGGGGGGCATCGGCTGCCCCGGGGTCTGGGTGGGCTCCGTGTTCTCATCTGTGGGACCCGGTCTCACCCTGTCCTGTGTAGGGTCTTGAGCCTGGCCCTCACACACCACAGCTCCAAGCTGGGCATGTGCTGAACCCCTGAACTCCAGCTGCTTAAGAGGCTGAGGCAGGAGAAAGGCGAGTTCCAGGCCAGCCTGGGCAGTTCAGGAAGACCCCATCTCAAAATGAAACAGTTCAGAGTGTAACTGGGTGGAAAAGCACTTGTCCAGCATGCACGAGGCCCTGGGTCCGTCCCCGACACCAGACAGAGAACAGCAGAACTTCACTGGGGGACCAGGGGGACAGCGGGGTCCCAGGGGCAACCCAGTGTGAAGCCCAGGTGCTGGATTCAAGGGCAGCAGCTGCATTCTAAAGGAGCCTGGGGTTTCCAGTGGAGGCCGAGAACCCCACCACAGGAGCACAGGGCCAGGTCTTGAGAACCCCAGTGAGCCCACTGATACACAAGCCACCCTGCCCCTCTGCTGTGGCTTTCCGGAGCCCAAGGCTTGGACCAGTCCTTTGACACCCCCCACCAGGGAGCCCCCGCCGGGGTCCCCTGCTGACCTGCTGTCTCTGTCTGCCTTCCCGCTTCCTGGCCCGCCCGCACCTCTCCTCCCTCTGGACCCCCGCCCCACTCCCTCAGGCATCTTTAAAATCGAGGACTCGGCCCAGGTGGCCCGGCTGTGGGGCATCCGCAAGAATCGCCCCGCCATGAACTACGACAAGCTGAGCCGCTCCATCCGCCAGTATTACAAGAAGGGGATCATCCGCAAGCCCGACATCTCCCAGCGCCTGGTCTACCAGTTCGTGCACCCTGTCTGAGGCCCGCAGCCACCCTGGCCATGCACTGGCTTGCCACCTTTGCCTCAGCCAGATGCGGCTGGGCTTGGGGACCAAGGGCAGCCTGGGGTTAGGTCCCCAAGCACAAGGTCAGTGGGGGAGGCTCGCTGAGGCCAGGGCTACACAAGCTCCTGGGGCCCAGGCCTTTGCTGCTGACCCGTACAGGGCCCTGGTGGGCGTACGGGCTGCTCCCAGGAGAACAGCCCCCCCCACCTCAGAGTAGTGCCTGCGGAACAGCAGGGACACGGCCGTGGCCACAAAGAGTGGGGTGCCCTCTGTTCAACCCCTGCTGCTCACTGTGCCCCAGGCCTGCACGCGGCGAGGGGATGCCTGCACCCGAGCCGGGAGCCAGGCATGCTCTGGGAGCAGGGAACAAAGATGTGAGCGAATGGACAGGTTCCCCAGGGTCGCTGAGGGGGTGGGACAGCCTAGAGCCCAACAGTGGTCAAGTGGTCACAGAGGGTCATGCGTGGTGGGTCACACACCTGTGACCCCAGCACTCTGGGAGGCTGAGACAGGAGGAGAGCATGTTGAGCCCAGCTTGGGCCAATTAGCAATTTAGCAAGATCCTGTTTCAAAATAAATTTTTTTAAAAATGGAAAAAAAAAAAAAGGCTGGGTATGTTAGCTCAGTATGAATTCCCAATACTGTAAAAAACATTTTATTATTTATTATCTTTTTGGGTTACAGGGGCCTGGGGTGCCCAGGGGAAGGTGGTACTGAGCTGAGCCTAGAGGAAAGGGATCATGGGTGGGTCGCAGCTCGTGGGGAAGACAGTGAAGCCTGCAGGCCAAGGACAGACCATCACATCTTGCACTTGAAGAGGCAGCTAGAGAGTTGGAGGCGCGAGCCGAAGCGTCTGCGCACGTGCAGGGAGGCCACACCCGGCGCCCTGGGTCCTGGCCCGCACCGCCAGAAGCTCACCAGCTTGGGTGTCCTGAGGTCCTCCTGGGTGCCAGGCGCCTGTGACTTCCCAGCAGGACTCTGGGGGGTGCATAGGCCCCTGTTCACAGGGACACGCTGGGGCTCAGAGAGGCGAAAGGACTTGCTCACGATCACAGCCAACTCACAGTAGACCTAGGAGCTCCCGTGTCTTGTGTCCCTGCCTCCATCCCTCCAGCCTCAAAACTGGTGGACACGGCTGGTGCCCATAATCTTCCACCTTCTTCGGTCCGAGGCCACGCTCACAGGGAACAGGGGAAGCCGGCCCCACCCAGGCCACCGAGGGTTAACTGCGGCCCTGGACTCCTGCCTTCTGCCCTCAGCGATTTTATTGTCTTCAGAAGAAAGTTTACTCCTGGCAGTGAGCAAACAGCGCCTTGGCATTTGCCAGCTGGGCCTGGACCGAGGAGGAGGGGGCCCTGCTGTCTCCCACCCCCGGGAGGGGGCAGGCTGGACCCCGGCCAGAACCATCTCAACCAACTGGTTTTGTCTCTGGCCAGCCCGCCCTGCCCCAGCGAGTCCCTGGAGCCAGCGGCCTGGATTGGGCGTCCCCGGGTGGGGGGCAGCTGGCAGAGCTCAGGCAGGGACTGGGGAGCACAGGCGGGGATCAGAGGCTGGAGTGGGGAGCAGGGAGGCTCTGGGGGTGCAGGTAGCTCTTGGCAGGCCCCCCATCCAGCAGCACCTTGCAAGCTGGCAGCTGTCCACAGGCCCCTCCTCCACACGCTCCCTGTGCTGACCCTGCCCGGCCAGGGTGCCCCTCACCCTCCTCACAGGATGCCACTCCAGGGCTCCCTGGACTAAAGGGACAGCTCTGCAGAATGGCCAGGGTGACCTTCTGCCTCCTGTGATTCCAGCTTCAGATGGAGATGGAGGTGGAGGTGGGGAGTAGGGAGGGGAGGTGGCAAGTGGGACCCCTGCCCCTCCCTGGCCCACCTCCTGCCCCAAGCACACACCAAGGCACAAGACAGGGGTGCGGTAAAGGGCTGGGACTTTCTTTCAGTCCTGGGGATGGAATCCAGAGTCTAGATAATGCGGGAGTTACTAATGTGACTTTTAAATTTGTTTATTTTTTTTTGAGACACTGTCTTGCTAAGTTGCCCAGGCTGGTTTCAAATGTGCAATCCTCCTGCCTCAGCGTCTCCAGAAGCTGGGATTACAGATGTGCCCCATCATGCCATCAAGGGAGGCTGGGTTTGTGTCAGTGCCCTGCCCAGCTTGCTAGGGCCATTGAGGCCTCAGGGAGAATCTCATCAGACTGGTGCAGTGGGGGCACTGTCACATGGGTGACCCACGTCCTCTCAGAAGAGATCTAACTGGAGTGTCAGGGGAGCTTCAGGACTGGACTTGGAGTTGACACGAGGGCAGGACCCATGCCTGGCACAATCCCTGAGCACCCAGAGCTGCAGTCCTGCCCGGTCCCAGAGGCTCCCCTGGGAACAGTGTCAGAGCAGGGAGACCCCTGGATGGCATAGGAGGGCCTGGTGTCACCCAGCAGCCTGGGCCACAGACTTCAGCAGTGGTTTCCACCTTAAAAACCAAAAGTATGAGCTGGCAGTGGAGCCGCACACCTGTAATCCCAGCACCATGGAGGCAGAGGCAGGAGGATCCCAAGTTCAAACTCAGCCCGGGCACTTCAGCCAACCTGTCTCAAAATTAAAAAAATTTAAAAGGCAAGGGGTGCAGCCCAATGTGAAGGAGGGGCAACTTCAGTGCAATCCCTGGTCCCGGAAAAGAAAAAAGCAACCCAAGATAAGTGAGGGCCACAGTGACCTTCGACCTTTGCCCCTGAATGTCCCAGGCCTTCTGGCTAGTAGTGTCCCTGGGGGACCCAGCACCCAACAGGCTGGCACCCAGTCCAGATCTGGGGCCCTCTCCCCAACAGATGTCCCAATCACCGAGAGCGCAGGCCAGAGGAAGACACACAAGACTCGAGAGGACCACATCCAGCCAGGTTGACACAGTTCTGGGCTTTATGCACAGTCTTACAGTCACGACTTATATATATTTATATATATATAATAGATATTTGTATTTATATACCTTTAAATTACACAATCATATACAAAACAGGCGCGTTGCTGAGACCACAGCACTTCTCGGAGGTTCACAAGTGTCGGAACTAATGGAGTCAGGAAGCCTAGGGTGGCAGGTGACGGCGGCAGCGATGGGGCAGCGCGGGCCCTCACGGAGCCCGGCCGCAGAATGGTCACTAACTGGAGACACACACTCACTGGCCGAGCCCCAAGGCCGGCGCGGCATAAGGTCAGGGTGGGCAGCGGCCACAGGACGGGGGGGGGGGAGCGTGGCCCTGACACCAGCATTGACAGGTGGGGTGAGGCCCCGAGCTCAGGGGACTTGCAGAGGGGAGACCCTTCTGCTTTGGGGTCCTGAGGAGTTTCGGAGGCCGAGGGCAGGTCCCACATGAGGCTGTGGATGTGGCGGCTCCAAAGGGCTGGGTTCTCCAGTCCCTGCCCAGCAGTGGGCAGCTAGAGGGCTAAAAGGTAGAGGCCTGGGTCCCACCTGGCACCAAGAGGGGGAGCCTAGGCCCCAAGGCGCAGATGAGCCACATTCCTGCCCCTGCGGGCAAGCGGGGAGGGGCAGAGCCCCCAGATCCCTGCGGATTCGTCAGGGCACTGGGCTCCGAGGGCCCAGGCTGAGTCTCAGGTGGCAGAGGAGGCCCAGAGACCAGACAGCGATAAGGGGTGCTGGCAGCATGCCAGGGCCTGGGGTGCCACCATCCTTGGTCCTGAGCAAGGCCTCTCCCAGCCGGGGCCCTTGTCAGAGCTGTAGGAGTGGGATGGAGCCCTGGGAGGTGCAGGGAGCCCGCGGGCTGGGGCAATGCACCCCCCAACTCCCAGCACACCCCTGAAGCGGGGAGGAGAGGTCTGTGCCACCTGGGAGGGGCAGCACGTCCCCAACACTGGGAATACTGCTCTCACCACACCCACCAGTCCTCTGCCCCTCACATCCCTGGGTCTCTGAACTGGGACCCAGGCTTGAAGAGATGGGGGTGCTGCCAGCAGGATAATGTTCAGCAGGTTGGGGGGCCAGGAAGAAAGATGATCGGCTTGCCCTTGAGGTCAGACGTACACTGTCCTGCTCCACTTGACTGAGGCCTTGCCCTGATGGCCCCAGGCTGGAAGTGCCCATGGCCCCCCCAGGCCCAAAAGGGAAGAGAAGGGTGGGGATGGTCAGGCCAGGAGCCTTGCGGACACAAGGCTTGGCTTCACAGAGGCTGATGCTGAGCCCATGGTTCCAGGGTTTGGACAGATATGGGGTGGGGGGTGACCAGGCAAGATGCCCTTTCCCCCAGGAAATGGGAGGAGGCTGCTACTGTTGCTGGCTTTGCCCTGGGTTTGAGGGCCTTGTCCCTAGCCACAAAGGACTTCCGCGGGGCAGGGCCTCTGAGAGTGATCAAGGGGTGTGGTTCCGAGCAGGGGCCTCTACCCACACTGCTGGCAGCTGGGAAGAAGGGTCTTGGTCCACAGATGGGCCTAGCACAGCCTGGGCTGAGGGCTCAGTGCCCTTCCACTCACTCTGGGCTGTGCAGTGGCACTGCCCCTCCATCCAGCTCACCCTTTTTCACACCTGGGGAAGCCTAGGAGGCCTGGGAACTGCTATAGGAAAGGAGGGTGACTCTCCCTCCCCCAGCCCCACTGGTCCTCAGGAATGGGGCTAAGACTGGGCAGAGTGGAAGACTCAAGATGGGGGCTCCCTTCTTGGGGGGAGAGGAGGAGGAGGAGGAGGAAGTGGTCAGGAAGCCAGGCTCAGAGAGCAGGGGCGATGCTGGCATCTGTGGTGGGCTGGGGCAGGCAGGCGACAGTGAGACAGCGTGGATGGGTCCCGATGTCTCTCAGGGCTCAGGAGACTCTTTGGTGGACTCCGAAGAGCAGATGTGATGTTGAGCTAAGTCCTAAGACCCTCAGCCACCCCGGAGCCATCGTTCCAAGTTCCACCACCCTGGCCTCCAGGTGGCCCTGCAAATGCTCTGTCTCTTTATATTTTTTGTTCTGTTTTGACTTTTAAAAAAATAAAAGCTTGATCGGAAAATATGTCTGGAACTCTATGGCAAGGGGAGGGGGAGGGGAGAGAGGAAGGGAGAGGGCGGGGCCGAGGTGGACAGGAGGGAGGGCGTGGCCGGTAGGCAGCTAGATGGCCTCCACGTAGTTGGCGGGGTAGAGGCCCAGCTGCCCGCTGTCCAGCCGCCCACGGCACCAGCCCTGCTCGTCCTCTTCACCCAGCTTGGTGAGCTCGTCGCCTGGGAAGGGAGCACAGGAAGGGATGGATGGTTGACCCAACAGTCACGGGGAAGCTGGACCTCCCTCAGCCAAGTGAGACCTCCAAAGCCCCTTCCCTTCTATTCCCAATGTACCCACCTGTTTACTAGGCCTTGTTTACTGGCCACGGGCCCACCCCAGTTCCAAACCAACATCCTCATGCACCTCCTGGCACAGAGGCCCAGACCCACGTCAGCCATCGCCTCACCTGGACTGGCCCACCCTGATGCCCAGCACCCACCCAAGGTTCCTTTCATAGCTCCCAGCCCTGCTCCTTAAATGCCGCCTCCAGACTCCGCCCCACTTCATTCCACTGGGCACCTCAGTCCGACCCCAAATTCCCTAATCTCAGAGGAGGGCTCAGACCCTGCCCCTCCTCCATACCCAATCCAGGCCCAGGCTCTCCATGCCCCGCCCAATTCGGGCCCAAGCTCCTCCCCCAGACTCCACCCCTTCCCCATACCCAATCCAGGCCCAGGCTCTCCATGCCCCGCCCAATTCGGGCCCAAGCTCCTCCCCCAGACTCCACCCCTTCCCCATACCCAATCCAGGCCCAGGCCTCTCCCCACAGCCCCGCCCCAGCCGTCCAGCCCACTTTACCCGCTTTGAAGCTGAGCTCATCTTGTTCCTGGCCGTCGTAATCGTACAGCGCCCGCACTCGGACGCCCTTGGTGTCATCCTCGAAGGGATTGGCGCCTCCGTTGGCCTCGCTGCCCCCAAAAGGGTTTCCGCTTTCGTCGTCCGACCACTCTGTGGCGTAAGGCTGGCCTCTGTCGTAGCTGCTGACACTGAGATGCGAAGGAAGCACCCCTTCCACAATGGCCTAGCCTTGGGCGCCCCCCCAATCTGGGATCAGGACCCCCACACTGCCACGCTGGAGTAGGGGTTCCAGGACCAGTGGCCTTCAGGTCAGCTTTAAACAGAAGGCAGAGCCATCTGCATTATTTCTGCTATTAGATCAACAGGGGCACCCTCACCTGCCGCGGTCCCCAGCCTGGGATGTGGACTCCACTGCCCCGGTAGCGTTGCTCAGCGCCGCCCCCTCCGTCTTCTTGGGCTGCTTCTCCTTCTTGGCGGTGGCATGGGGCAGATCTGGGTTCCACTCCTAGTGGGGGCAGGAAACAGTCGTTCTGGGGGCTGTACCTCCCGGCCCTTGCCAGCCTTTTCAGGCTCCCCTTGCCCATCCCCACACGTCCTCACCTCGAACTGGGGCCAGTTCATGGGCATGCCGGGGCCGCTGGTGCTTCGGAACCACCGGAGGTCCTCCTGGGCGTCAGCCCCCCGGATGGCCTGCTCCAGCTCCCGGTACACGTGGATGTAGCTGCACTCGGGGACAGGGGGAGTAGAGGGCAAGGGATTACCTCATCTCATTCCATTTGGGAGAGCAGGACAGCGCAGGTCAAGTTGCCCACCAGTGGGCTCCCTACTGCACGCCAGCCACCTTGGCCACCACCCACCTGCCACACACACTTCGTGGGTTCCCAGCATGGGTCAGCACACACCCAAAAGGCCTTCCTTCCTTTCAGTGGTGGGCCAGAGTACCCACAGGCCAGCTAGCTGTGCCCACTGTGCTAGGTACCTGCTGTTCTCCGCCAGGTTGAGGTGACGCTTGATGTCCAGCAACACCTCCTTGAGGAAGACCAGTCGCTTCTCCTCAAACTGCTGGCATTGCTCGAACACCTGCTCCATGCCCTCCATGTACTGGGGTGTGGTCTTGCCCACGTCGTCCAGCACCTTCTCGTACTTCTCCTGCGTCTGTGGGCACCGGCACGGAGACTAATGAGACCTCCCCAGGTGCGGCCCCTGGCCATCTCCCATTCCAGGGGCCCTCGGACCCCAGCTACCCCACCCCCTGCCCAAGGGCACCTTCTGCACATCCTGTTTGCATTTGTCCACTTTGTCCTGCAGCTTCTTCTGCTGCTCTGGTGTGACCGACTGCTCGCCCTTGCTGTTCATCTCCCGAGTCATGGCCAGCTTCTCCTCCTTGCAGGCCAGGTGGTAGGCCTTCTTGGCGGCCTCCAGCTGTGGGAGAGGATAGGGCACACAAGGGTCCCACTTGTGAGGAGGGACATTCGTGGTCACTCATCCTTGGAGCTGCCGCCTGCCCGCCCACCCCAGGAGAGCGGGGGACATGTGGGCTTGCATGGCAGGGGCTGCTGGCTGTGGCTCCAGGTGCCCACTTCCATGGAGGTCCCTCGTGGGCACTGCAGTGCCTGCCTCATCTGACATGCCCTTTGGGTATCTCTCACAGGGACAGGCCCTCTTCTCCTGGGCCTCTATGCACAAGTGCTATCTGCCCCATCATGGGCCAACCCTCCTGGAAGGTGGCACTGCTCCCCTGTGGGCACAGTGCCTGGGGCAGTGTGCTGACCCCCACCTGCCCACAGATACCTCCCTGGCCCGGCCACCCAGCCTGCCCTGCCGTGGGCACCGCCCCCTGGCACCTCCTTCATCTTCTTGGCCCAGGGCTTCTGGGCCTTGCGGAAGCCGTCCTCAGCTTCTTTGGTCTCCTTGAAGCCGCCCATGATCTGCTTGTGGTAGGCATCCTTCTGCCAGTTCTTGACCTTCTCCAGGTCCTCATTCAGCAGGCTGTTCTTCACCTCCTGGTGCAGCTCGCTCACCTTGTCTGCCTCTGTCATGATGGCACCCCAGGCCCGCTCCAGGCTGCCATACTGCGGGCCTGAGGGTGCCAACAGCAGGTCACAGAGACCCCCTCTGCTCCCCCGAGCGCTCCCTGCACGTCTGCCCATGCTCCGGGGCCCCAGCCACCACCTCCAGGATGCCTCAGCTCCGGCTCCACCTTGGGCTGCACCTGCTGCTCTCCCTACCCTGCATCAGCCTGGGAGCCCCAGGGGCCAGCCCGGTCTGGTTCTGGGCCCATAGTAGGTGCTCAGGAAAGTCAGCTGAATGTGCAACTCCAACACCCACTGGGGCTGATGGCAGGAGCCCACGGGGCCTCTCAGCTTGCTGTTGTCTGTGTGCTGGTGCCCCGTGTGTGTGCCAGGTGCTGTGCTAGGTGGTATGCCCAGCCCTTGCCCTGTAGGGTCTAGAGTCTAACGGAAGAGAAAAACGGCAACAAAGAAGTGTAAACTCAATCCAGATCTGCTCCGGTGGACAGAATGCGGGGTGGAGACCAATGTGTGCTTCCAAATCGGGCCAGGGCCAGCCCAAGCCACTGCTGTAGTCCAACATGCATCTGGGCCATGTTAAATGTCCCAACTGTTTGTTTGTTTGCTTTTTTTGAGTCTGGGTGAAAGGTGTACATTTCTCTGTATTATGCTTGGCAACTTTAGCAGAAGCTTAAGTTATTTCAACACGGGTTTAGCCCCTTCTTTCTTCCCAGCAGGGAACAGTGTCGACACTATGTAAAGGAGATTGGCCTTGACTCCCTAAGTTACCCAGGCTGAGTTTGAATTCGTAATCCTCCCACCTCAGCCTCCCGAATGCTGGTTACTGCGCCTGTGATTTTGTTGTTGTTCCATCATACAAAAGTGGGTGGCTTGATTTTGTTGGGTGACCTACAGGCCTCTGAGTTGTGGTTCACCACAGGAAAGGATTTTCAGCCTGGGGGTGAGGGTGATTCCCTGGAGCTGGGGCAGCTGCTGGGCCCAGCACACAGGGGCCATGGGCCTCTCCTGCCTGTGGTTTTTAAAAAATCCTACCTATGGGCTGGGAATTTAGCTCAGCGGGATAAGCACCTGCCTTGCAAGCAGGCAGTCGTGAGTTCGATCCCCGGTACCGATTAAAAAAAATTTAAAAAATAAACGATTAATCTTTAGGGGCTGGGGATTTAGCTCAGCGGCATAAGCGCCTGCCTTGCAAGCAGACAGTCGTGAGTTCAGTCCCCGGTACCGATAAAAAGGAAAAAGACAAAAAAAAAAAAAAAATCCTAGCAGCCCCCAAAGGGCCTGTGGCTACAGGAAATGGCGCATCTACTAGTTGGGTGTAAGGGCGCGGGGGTGCGTGAGTCTGGGGGCACCCTGGGGACCCGGAGGCACCTTTCTCGATGAGCTGGCGCCAGCGCTTGGCCCAGTCGGTGAGCTGCTGCGCGTATGCCTTCTCGATCTTGGCGCGCTCCTGCACGCAGCTCATCAGGTCGTTGCACAGGCGGTGGCCGTCGTCGATGCGTTTCACCGTGCGCTTGTAGTTCCCCACCTGGCGGCGGCAGCGCGCGTGACTCTGCGGCCCCGCGCTCCCGGCCCCGGCCTGCAGGGGGCGCGCGCGCCGCTCCGCTCCACCACTCCCAGCCCCGCCGCGCTCGGGCGCGCCCCGCACCCCGCCGCAGGCGCCCCACTTCTGCGCACCCTTTTCCCACTTCAGACATCACCTCCTCGCCGCCACCAAATGCGGAAGGAGTTTTTATACTCTGGTCTTGGGCTGGAATGGATTATTCATGCCGTTCTCTCGCGCTAAACCCGCTGTATTTATAGTCGCAGAAGCGCCGAGCTGGGCTGCAGATTCTTGACACCGTGCTATGTTCCGTAGCCATCGCGTTAAACGCTTACTAACGCCGGCCTGGCAGTTTGCGTTTTGGATTTCAGGAGCCAATAATGAACCCGCCCCCCTCCCCCGTGTCAAATCTTCTGGCAGCTGCCGAAAAGCTGCTTTTTAGTCCCTGTGTGGATTGGGTCCTCCCTTCCCCTCTGTGTCCGACCCTCCACCTCTGGCGTGGGGGGCGAGGAGCGCGATGAAGCTGTGCACACTAACGGGCTGCGCCTGCCCCTCTGAAGAGCCAGGAGCTGACCTGGCCCCACAGCGGAGGGTCAGGTGGGCCTTGCCGCTAGGCGGTGAAATGTCACACAGTGTCTCCCTGGGAACAGCAGTGGGGCCAAAGGGCTCCAGGTGGGAGTTGCATCCCTGCTTCTGGTGAGCTCTGGAGGGGCTGAGCAGTCGGAGGTCGAGGCTGCGGGGGGAGGGGGGGGGACAGAGCGGCAGCCCCCGCCTACCTCCCAGAAGCTGTCTGTGGTCTCCTCCGGAGCCAGCGAGGCCTCATCGTAGGAGCCGGACATGGTGTGGCCGTGGGGAGTGGGGCACGGGTGCTGCTGCGGTCAGCAGGCTCGGCTGCTCAGGCCCTGGGAGGACAGGAGAGGAACCATGGAGGGGGAGCCCCACCCCAGCTCCGGCAGGGGTGTCCCCAGATGTGGGGGAGGAGCCTCACGCTGGGATGGGGCCTCACCACCCTAGAGTGACCCCAGGATTCAACCTGCAGCACCTCGAGCCCTGTCCTGAGCCTGTGACCTGCGATGAGAAGTGCCCCTTGACATGCCCTTGGGGAGCTGCACTGGGAGCTCCCTGGCCCCACGCATCCCCCCAAAGCCAGGGGTCAGGGCCCCTCACTGGCCTCTCGGTCTGCCATCCTGAGATGCGCCCCTCTCTGCCCCTCAGCATGGCCCACTTCAACCCAGCTGGATCCAAGCCCCAGGCCACAAACACTCTGCCCAGTTGGGGTCCCCAACTTCCAACTCCAAACCAACACCGAGGCCCTGGTCTCAGCCCTGAGAGCCCAGCTCCCTGCTGCAGCTGGAACCAAGGCTCCCAAGGCCCGTGCCAGCCCCCGCTGCCCCCACCCAGGCCCTGCCGCCCCATCGGTGGCTCCCTGGCCCTCGGGTCACGTCTGTGAAGCGTGTGGATGGCTGCGCTGCCCTGGTTCTGTCAGCTGGCATCTCAGTTGTCCAATCTAGGCCACTCGATGCCCGGGGCCAGGAGCCACCACCCCCGCTCCCGTACCAGAACGCAAGGCCACCCCAGAGGCCAGGCCAGGCCTGCCCTGGTGGGAGCTGTCCACCTCCAGCAGGCTCTGGGGACACCTGTCCTGCACCGCAGCCAGCTTCGGGGACTGAGGGCTGGCGGGAAGGTGGGTGCTGCAAGATTTAGCCCAACCTGGGGGCCCTGGGACCCCATCCCTTCCTGATGACTGGTCCTCACCCAGGCTCAGGGCAGGTGCACCAACTCGGAGGACCCTTGGCCAAGCACCACCTCCCCAGCCTCAGTCTCCCCGTCTGTCCAAGGCCTGGTGCTGCCTTGTCATGACCCAGCCTCATCTCCCTGCGCCTCAGTTGAACGAACAGAGTTTGAACCCTAGCCCAGGTGCTTCACCCGTAGTCCTGGGGGAGCACTGTAAAATGGGGGTGCCTCGACCAAGCCACAAGCATCTCAGGGACACGTTCCCCACCAACACCATTTCCAGGAATTCACCTGCCTGTGGCTGCTAAGGTCACTTCCTACAGCACTGCTGGGCCTCCAGAGGCTCACAGAGCCCAAATCTTCAGCCCAGGTCCCTGGCCCCGCCACCATTGCAATATGGGTAATAAGCAGAGGTCACCGTGGTGCTTCAGAGACAGGGCTGGGAGAGGGGTCTCTCACTGTAGGTCCTTCCCTGGCCTTTTGATTTTTCCTTGTGTGAATGAATTACACATTACAGAAACCCTTCAGCCTGTAATCCCAGCACTATGGGAGGCTGAGGCAGGAGGACGAAAGTTAGAGCCCAGCCTGGGCAATTAACAAAACATGGTTTTGGGGATGTAGCTCAGTGCAAAGGGCCTGGGTTCCAGCCAAAGCAACACACACACACACACACACACACACACACACACACACACAAACACACACACTGCAGGCTGTGTCAGGACTGGGAGCAGAACGGGGTGGGGCACACTGGGTCTGAGGTGGGGGACAGGGCCACCAAGCCAGGCACATTGGCTACAGAGGCCGCCCAGTGGCTGAGAGCCCGCCCGGCCCACACAATCCTGGCCCAGGTGGTGGTGTCAGTGTGAGAATTCCGAGCCTCCTCGGGGCTTCCTGGGAAACGACCTGACCAGCAAGTGACCAGCATGTGGCTGCAGTCCCAGGGGCCCAGAAGCCAGGTGGCAGGTGACAGCGAGGAGGCTGGTGAGGAGGAGCGGTGTGGTGGCCAGCGCTGGCCATGGGCTCTGCTCCCCCTGGATGGCACTCAACACCTGTGAGCACCGGCTGTGTGGAGTCAGGACTGATGTGGCTGTAGCTGGCACCTGTGCTCCCGGGACAGGCCTGAGGCCACTGGGCAGGGAGGGGAGGCCATCTCAGCACCGCAAGCCCTTCATCATCAGTAACAGCGGCTGACAGGGACCGAGTACACACCAACCCTGAACCGTTTTGTCTTTTTCCTTTTAGGCAGTATTGAGGGTTGGACATGGAGCCCCGCCCTTCCCATTTAAAAAACAAATTTTGGTACTAGGAATCAAACTCACGACCTCACACTTGCTGGGCAGGCGTTTTGCCACTGAGCTGCATCCCCAGCCACACCTTTTTTTTTTAGATAGGGCCTCACTAAATCAGCTGCCCAGGCCAGACTCCAACTTGCAAGCCTCCTGCCTCAGCCTCCTTGAGTGCTGGGATGAAATGTGTGTGTCACCACGCCAGCTTCAGTCCTAGGCTCCACTTCTTAACCTTTATGCCAGCTGTCCCTCTGTCATCCACACTAAAGATGAGAGCCCCTGCTCCCTGAGACTGAAGCCTGGGACGCTTGGGGCTCCCTCTTGACTACTATGCTGCTGCCACAGAAGGCGGTGTTGACGGTGACATCAGCCACCACCAGCTTTTGTTTCCTGGGTGCCTGCGGGGCACTGCTGCAGGTGCTCTATGTGTGTTTCTCCTTCATTTACAGATGGGGAAACTGAGGCACAGGCCACAAAGACCACAGCCAGGCATCCCAGGTGGCAAACAGCACAACTGGGATTGTCTCTGAGGCAGCCGAGCCCGAGCTATGCTGGTCACCTCACCTCATCCCCCACGATCCTGAAGGTGGCACATGCCTGTGATCCCAGCACTTGGGAGGCCAAGGCAGGGGACCACCAAGAATTTCAAGCCTGCCCAAGCTACCCTGCGAGACCCCATCTTGGGCACCACTTCCTCTCCCTGGGCCCCGTGGCCTTGTCTGTGAACTAGGTAGGTACCGGGTTTAAATGGTAGAGAGCTCTCCAAGGACATTGGCCTCTGCTCACTGGAGCCGGTGGAAGGTGGTGGTACCCTCTCTCTCAGAGTGTGAATTCAGCCAAGAGCCAGAATCCCGTGGAGGGACGCTGTGTCCCACCGACCTGGTGCCTGGCCCAGCCCAGGGCGGCTCCCCTCCCCCCGCCCTGTCCTGGGGACCCTCCCTCCACTGCCCCCAGAATCAGCAGCACAGCAGCGAGATGGCGGTGACCTCGGTTCCACCTGAGACCCATGGAGGTCAAATCATTTGTCCAAGGTCACACAGTAGGAGGAGGCTGAACGGGGTAGGAGTGAGTCCTCCCCCACGCTCCCCCAGGAGCCCGGCGTCCCCCACATTCCCGGCCACTCCGGGCCCCCGCCGTCCTCCCAGTGTCCCATGAGCCCCAGCAGCTCCTCGGCCTGGGGAGCCCTCGGCCTCCTGCCACTCACTGTCCCCACATCCTCGCTTCCCTTCCAAGGCGGCTCGGCCCCTCCCTCCAAGACACCCTGCCTGGGTTTCCACCCTCACCTGCCCCCACTTGTGCCCACCCGTCCCTGCACCCCCAAGCCCGGAAGCTGCCCCCACTTGTGCCCACCCGTCCCTGCACCCCCAAGCCCGGAAGCTGCCCCCACAGCCCTGCACTGCCCGGCCCTGGGTCTGGGCAGGGCCTTTGGCCTCCTGTCTCAGTGTCCCCAACTGCCGAGCCCTCGGGAGAGGTGCCCTCGCTGTCCAGTGTGGTTGTGCTGCAGAGGGCTCATCTCCCCGGTGACCCCTGGGTACCCCTAGAGGGACCCTCACCCGGACACCTAGGTCCCTGGGTCCCCGGGACAGGAAGACCCCTCACCTGGCTTCTGCTGCTACAAACCAGGCGCCCACCTGCAGCTCTCTAACCTGAGGTCCCCACCCCAGGGAGACCCCTTCCCAGAATGAGGCATCCAGGAGGGGTCAGAGAGGGCAGGAACACTTGTGGGCAGGTGGACAGCGTTGGAGGTCCCCAGGCACAGAACAGGCAGTGGCTCATTGCCGCTGGGGAGGGTGCAGCAGGCCGCCCCCGCTGCTGACTCAGGGGGAACATGGGCTCAGGGACCCCTCTGGCCGCCTCCCCGCCCTCCTCCCCTCTGCCCTTGTGCCTGGGCTCCTTCACCTGAGGCCTGCTGGACAGGCAGCACCTCCTGCCACCTATAGGCTTCAGGGAGGCCGGGGCACAGAACAAGCAGCTGTCCTACACCCAGGGTCCCAAGTGGACACCTGGGCCCCCCTCCCTGCCTCTTCCCTACCCGGGCTTGCCACAGATCCTGGCCCCAAGGATACGCTCTGTCTGGAGGGGGCTTCCCGGGGCCCCACAGGGAACATGCAGGGCTGGGGAGGCTGGCTTGGGGGCTGGCAAGCGACCTTCTCAGTTTTGGGCTATGGTGGCAGGAAAGAAATACTACCAGATCAGGCAGAGCTCAGGTTTTGAAGGGACCACACAGGGAGGTAAACACTGTGTGGACTGGAAGTCACTGGGCTGCAGATTAGAAAAAGATAGGGGAGGGGGCTCATGGGAGATGCGACTGAGCCATGCAGCACATCCAGCCAGAAGGTGCAGCCAGTGCAAAGGCCCTGAGGCAGAAGTGCAGTTGCCACCATTGAAAACCAGCAACACTGCAGGACAAGGGGACAAGGGTGTTGTGTGACTGGAGCAGACTGCATGAGGGGAAGGAGGCAGAGCGGTGTGGATGAAGAGGATGAAGGTGCCAGTGACAGGCCTTGTGAGGCTGAGGGAAGCCCCTGACTTCTTCACTAGGGAGATGGGAGCCAGTCCAAGGCCCAAGGAGAGGCGGGATAGCATCTGGCTTCCGTCTCAGAGGCTCACCAGCTGCTGGGGGCGGAGCAGCCTATGGGACACAAGAAGACCAGGGAAGCTGCCCACGCGTGGCTGTGGTGCTCCAGGGGAGGCGTGGACCGTTCGGATGTAACCGGAGGGCAGGTGGCAGGGGTGGTGCAGGGACTGAGGCCACGGGACACCCACAAAGAGCCTCCCGAGCTCTTGCCGCGGGGTCACAGGCACAGAGCCTCCTCCAGCCCCACCCTGCCCAAGCCCCAGGCCTCTGGGTGGTCCTGGGCCCTCCTTGGGCTCCCTTTGACTGGGTGGGCTGCTGCGGAGACCAGGTCCCAGCCTGACTTCCGGGCTGCGTCCCAGGCTGCAGACCCGCTGTGTGCAGGGACAGAGCCTGGGCAAGTACCCCAGGAGGTCTTTCCAGTGGGCTCCAGGGTTGGGTGGGGGTCGGACAGCAAGGAAAGACCTCAACAGGGTCCCAGGGCAGGGAGAGACGATGGGGAGCGGGCAGGGGGAGGTCGGGGCCAGCCTGAGGGGGCGGAAAGGGCCAGGTCCAGGGCTGCAGGCCACCTCCAGGTCCTGGGGGTGGGGATGTGAGGGGTTCAGAGGATCAGGGCGCAGAGGTACCAGTGTGCAGGGCACATCAGTACCCTCCAGGTGGCTCCAGCCAATGCCAAGACCCACTCACCTGGGCTCTGGACCCCAGAACGGGAGCCCCTGTGACCAGCACCCGGCGGGTGACATCTGCAGAAACCAAGCTCCGCTCACGGTGCCCAAACCCTCCGACCCTTGCGGCCCCTTTCCTTCCTGTGCGGGGCCTGGGCTCAGCAAGCACCCGACACCTCTCCACAGGGGCAGGCCTTCGTGCTCCCACCTCCTGCCCGCGGAGCCCTTCAGTCCCTACCCGGTCAAACGCGGACCCCACGTCGTGCACGCCGCGGCCCGGTCCTCGCCCCTCGCTGCTCCTCGCAGCGCCCCCTCCGCCCCCTCCCGCGGCGCGCAGCCGCCTCCGCAACGCCGGCTCCCGGGAGCGATGCAGCAGACGCGGGGCGCCCCTGCGCTCCTGCACCCCGAATGCAACCCCTGGCTGGGGGGGCGCACCGAGGTCCTCGGGCACCTCTGCGCGGGGAGGGTTGCGGTGCCCGCGGGGGCGGCTGGCTCGGGCCGAGAGGGGCTCTGAGCCCAAGGCCGAGGACACCCAGGGCCCTGGGGCGACATCCTCACGTCCTCTGCCGCCCCAGACCAGCTCGGCCCGGGAAAGGGGTCCCCTCACCGCACCCCCAGGCGGGGCGGCACGCGCAGAAGCCCAGGCCGGTGGCCGCGGTGGAGACGGGTGGGAGATGCACAGGAAGAAGGCGACAAGGACCGTGCTGGCGGCGACCCCGGGGCGCTCGCGGGACCCCAGGTCGGCCTACCTGGGCAATGGCCGGACCGGGCTCCACGCCAGGCCGGAGCCGCGGGTCGCGCTCCCTCTGCGCCGTGGTGGCGGCGACGCGCGGGGACCTGGCGCGAGCTGGGGGCTGCGCGCTCCGGGGTCCCCTCGCCAGCGCGCGCGCTCGAAAGCAGCGGCGCCAGAACCGCAAGAGCCCGCTCCCCGCCCCCACGCCGCCGCCTCCCCCCTCCCCCGGCCCGCCTCCTTCCCCGGCCTCCCACCTCCTTCTGCTCGTTTCCAGGGCAACCGAGCAATGCTCGGTTCCGACACCTCCCTCCGCAGACGACAGGGGGCGCCCGCATCCGCACGGGCGCGCGCCTCACAGCACAGACGGGCTGCGGGGCACAGGCTGGCGCGCCTCGCTCTACCGCCGAGGTCCCGCCTGGCGCCTTTCTTCTCTTCCTCCCCAACGTCGGGCCTCCGGCTTCCCTCCCAGACATCGGGAGCGACATCTTTGCCATGCACCTCCCTGAGACACTTCTGTTTGCTAAATCTTTTACTCTCTAGTCCAGAGACAGTGTGAGTTTTTCCATGCCCAGGCTGAGTGTGAAATGCTCACCCATGATCTCCTGCAGCGAAAAGTCGTGCCCATTATACAGACCGGATCTGAGACTGGCGGCAATAAAGCAAAGCAGCTCAGCACCCGGGCTTCTTGGGCTGGCTGCCCGCCCTGTGATTGCAACGCAGGGCTCCTCTGAAGCCCACAGTGGCTGCACGTGCCCCAGAGCCTGCATCCCTGTGTGATCCGTGTACTTAAGTGTGTGCCGCAGTACATTTACACAGACAAACGCCTGTTACAGGTTTGCCCACAGGAATGCGCCTGCCTCACGTGCACACGTGACCCAGGTATATATCTGTGACACTGACGTAAGTGCAGACGCACGTTGAAACATGCGCATGCGCATCTGGAGGGACCCAAAACGCGCGCCCTTGAACCTGTGCCCTACACTCGAGCTCAGTGCGCCACCCTCCCTCCTGGGAGGGACTCAGTGTCCCACCCGGAGCAGAAGGAAGCGCCGCTTCCGGGAGGGCATCAGACTGTCTGCTCCACCCACCCAGGGTGTAGCGTCTCAGCTGCAGTAAGGGTCCAGCCAGTGCTGTGTCCCAGCAGGAGGCAGCCACCACCACCCCATTCTGGAACCCTCCTCTTGGTCCAGAATATAGTGCCTAGGTCCCCCAGCCTAGGGGTGCACTTGCTTTGTCTGTCTGTCCGTCTGGATCTCTCTCCGTCTGTCGCCCTCTTTCTCTCCCCAGGATGCCAGCCCATCCTGGACTTGGAGGAAAGCCAGGGCACAGTGACACAGCCCTCCCTCCTCAGAGGGGGTCCGGAGGCCCACAGGGTCCCAGTACCTGCCTGGAAGAGTGGCACGGAACGGGATGGAGGGTGGCAGGAGACCAGAGAAGAGCCAGGGACATAGGTGACAGTGTGACCCAGGGGCTTCTCATGCATGGCTGCTGCAGCCTTTGGGATCCCCAGGCCACCCCACCCGCCCTGCGAATTAACCAAAGGCTGCTTCTTAACGGCGCCTCCCTCGAACTCTGCACCTCTCAGCCTCCTCCTCTTCACCCTGTGACTGCTGCCCGTAGGCCCAAGTAGCTGTCCTGACATCGGAGATGCCACAATGGAAGGGGAAAATGACCCTGAAACAGGAGAGGGGCGTCCGGTTCCTTCAGCGTGCATGTACCCACCAGAGACAGTGTTAGACACTGAGATCCAGCGCTCCGGGGTCCCCAGCAGCGGTGGGTGAAACGGAGCCCCGCCCTGGAGGACTCCTGACCACTGACCGGGTCTCTGGCCCCTCCGAGCACAGCAGCCTTGCTCAGAGAGGCCGCTGGGCCCTTAGAACACAGACTAGAGACAGACGGATTCTCCTAGTGTGACTGTCGGTCGGTACAGCGCTGGGCTGGGGTTTGAATACTGTGCTCCCCGGCTTTTCTGTGTTCCCCACAGATCCCATTAAGAAAGATCTAAGGCAGGTGTGGTGGTGCACGCCTGTAAACCCAGCTCTCTGGGAGGCTGAGGCAGGAGGATGGCAAGTTCCAGCCCAGTTTGAGCGGTTTAATGACTTAGGGAGGCCTGGGCTCAAAAACAACAAAATTAAAACGGATCGGGATATAGCTCAGTTCACCTCCCAGGACGGGAGAACAAAGCAAGGTTCCGGAGAAGAAGCTCCCAGGAGAGGGGAGGCCTGAGCTGGGGCAGGAGGGATCGGGTTCCGGGTGCTGTAAGCAGAGCCCCCTGCCCACCTGCCGGCCCTCAGCCCCAGATTATCTTTCTCCTAAAGAGCGGTTCCATTCCGTGATCTCAAAGACAGCTGTCCCCTCCTTGATGCACCTGACCCAGGCCCATCTGCTGCCCGGCAGACCTGGAGACCTGCCCCCTACACTGCTGCTGCCCCCTCCTTCCAGGCTGAGAGCTCCCATCACGCCACCACTGAGGGCCACCTAAGATGGGCCCATCTGCTGCTGGGAAGCCCCGGGCCAGCCTGCTCTGGGGCCCGAGCTCTGGGCCCCAGGCAGAGTCGGCCTGCAGATGAAGAGGGCGCCCTGCCCAGCCACAGAAACGCCCTGGGCCGCTCACCTGCCTCCTGCCAACCCCAAGGCACTCAGGGACCCTCCCATCAGCCACGCGCTACCCAGTGCAGAGCCATGGGGCTCAGGGGCTGCTGTTTTTCACCCCATTTGCACGATGCTCCTGTGACTATCAAGATGCCAGAATCCTTCCCGCCCCCGGCCATGTATAATAAGCAAGCTGGACAGCTCAGGAGGACAAAGGCAGGCGAGGCCCCATGGAGGCCTGGGAACGGAAGCAGCAGAAGGAGAAAAACGTCCCAATCTTCACAGGGCACCTGGGCACCTGGGCGCCTGTTTTGCACAATGCACCGTTTTACAGGTGTGGAAACTGGGGTCAGAACAGTCAAGGCCTCGTCACTCAGTCCGGGTCCAAGGCTGAGGGTGGCAGCACAGTCGTGTAAGTTCCCGTGAGGGTCCCTCTCCAGCGCCACAAAAAATAAAAATAAATAAAAAGTAAAGGACTGGATCCAGGACCCAGCAGCAGGGCATCGTCTGTTAGGAGCCGGCTCTCCGGGGGCCCCAGGCACCCTGCACAGCCGCTTTCCAAGGCCTGGGAGGTCCAGGACGGGAAGTGCTAGGTTAAGGGGCCTCCCCTAACACACAGCTGGGACAGGGAGCTGGTGGTGACCCTGGGGGTGATTCCCACATCCCTCACTGTCTTCGGTGCCTTTCTGAGCAGTTTTTGAGAACCTACTACGTGCGGCATCACCCGGGGGTTGGGGGGCACAGAAGATGACCAGCCAGACAATCTCCAGCCTCGAGGAGGATCCCTGCAAAAGGGCCGCACAATAAACCACGTAAGTGTGGGCGCCAATCAATGCTATCAAGAAACAGAACGTGGGTTAGAGGGATAGAGTATGAGCGGGAAGCCACCCAATCATCCTCCTTTTGAAGAAGTGGCATTTGAGCAAACCTGAGTGAAGAGAGAAAGGGACGGATTGGATGATTTGAGGAAAGAGCGTTTCTGAGGTGTGATTAATTGTGGGTCACTGGAAGGACCTCAAAACTGGATGAATGGAAAGATAGATAGATGGATGGATAAGCAGATGGGTCGATGGATGGATGAATAAGCAGATCGATGCGTGGCTGGCTGCTGGATGGCAGGATGGATGGATGAACGGAGGACAGGAAGATCGATGGGTAGATGGATGGATGAGCAGATGGGTGGATAGATGGATGGATGAGCAGATGGGTGGATGGATGGATGGATGGATGGATGGATGAGCAGATGAGTGGATGGATAGGTGGGCAGAGTAAGCCAGACAGAGAGCTGCATCATAACACAGTGGTAAAGAAGAGAGGGACAGGGACTTGAGAGGGGAAAATCAGTGCACTTGGAGATAGAATAATAGAAATAAAATAGTTTGAACAACAGAGAGAAAATAGAAAAAAATGGAGTCTTAGGAAGTCCAAGGACCGTAACAGATGCACTGCCATTCATGTCCTCTGAGGCCGAGGAGGAGCCTGCCAAAGTAGCCTCCACAGACCTGCTCTGAATTTAAAAACCTGACATCTGGCAAGAAGACAAGCAATAGATTTAAGAAGTGTGTGAACTCCAGACAGGTAAAAACCAAAGAAAGTCGCTCCACGGCACACAGAGTCAAACTCCTGAGAATGAGAGAGTCTCGAAGGCGGAGAGAAGAGATAACGCTTGATCAGAATCGGAACGGCCCGAGTGACAGCAGACTTCTCCCCGGAAACCGCGGCAGCTGGAGGTCACTAAGGAGGCCTCCCCAGGCCTCCCCAGAGGAATGGCGAAGGAAACTGGGGGACAGAAAGGAACCTCGGACGGCAGGGAGGAGAGAACAGGAAGCGTACAAACCCAACAGGGCGGATCCCATAGGCTTCTTGTGTTTTCTGAATTACGTTTGAGAGTGGAAGCCTTGATGATACCCTCCTCTGATGCATGCAGAGGGAGTCTTTAAAACATTTAAATGCAGACGGCAGGGGGCTTACAGTGGGGCAAGTTTTGTACACTTAAACTGATGACACCAAACTGGACGTGGCAGTACATGTCTGTAATCCCAGCATGCTGGGAGGCTGAGGCAGGAGGACTGTAAGTTTAAATCCAGCTTAAGCAGCCATTTAGCAACTAAGACTTTGTCTTAAAATTTAAAAAAAAAAAAAAAAAGAAAAAAAAGAAGAAGAACCGGGGTTAGATAGCTTGGTGTGGAATGCTCTAGGTTCAATCCCCAGTACTACGAAAGTAAGTACATAGATTCATACATATATACCAGTACAGTAGAGCTAGGAGGCTGGATACGGATATACAGATACAGGACACAGACAGACAGGAAACAGTTACCAAAATGACCTACACAGAGATACACTCAAAGACACTACACAGAAATCCGGAACAGCAAACGTGATTTTCAGCAAGGGGTGCTGGCATGGTGGGTGGTTCCAGGGGATACAAAGGGCAGCCACCCACGCGCCTCTGGTCATTACCTTCTGATCTGAGCAGAGATTCTCACAGGTATGCAGTCACTGAGTTGCACAGTTAAGATTCATCATGCTTCAGTTAAGTTAAGCTGCCACTAGACACAAAACAAAGCTGGCGTCGTGATACATGACTGTAAT